CATCAAAATAAAAGGCTTCTGCACAGCAAAGAAAACCACCAATAAAACGAGAGGACAAGTTACTGAATGGGAGAAGATATTTGCAAAGGATATAAAAGGTTAGTATCCAAAATATATAAAGAACTTATACAACTCAACACCAAAAAACCAAATGATCCAATTTAAAAATAGGAAGAAGACATCAACAGACATTTCTCCAAAGAAGACACAGATGGCCAACAGACACGAAAAGATGCTCAAATCACTCATCATCAGGGAAATGCAAATGAAAACCACAATGAGCTATCACCTCATACCTGTCCAAATGGCTAAAATCAACAACACAAGAAACAACAGGTTTTGGCAAGATTGTGGAGAAAAAGGAACTCTTGTGCACTGTTGGTGGGAATGCCAACTGGTGCAGCCCCCTGTGGAAAACAATATGGAGGTTCCTCAAAAAATTAAAGATAGAATAGCTATATGATCCATAACTGAGTATTTACCCCCCAAATAGAAAAACACTAATTTGTGGGGTGTCTGGGTGGCTCAGTCGGTTAAGCATCTAGCTCATGGTTTCAGCTCAGGTCATAATCTCGGGATCATGGGATCGAACCCCACATTGGGTTCTGCGCTCAGCACAGAGTCTGCTTGAGATTCCCTCTCCCTCTTCCTCTGCCCCTGCCCCCACCTGTCTGCTCACCCTCTCTCATTCTCAAATAAATAAATAAATAAATAAATAAATAAATAAATAAATAAATAAAATCTTTAAAAAAAGAAAAACACTAATTTAAAAAGATATATGCACCCCTATGTTTGTTGCAACATTATTTACAGTAGCCAAATTATGGAGCAAGCCCAAGTGTCCACATATATATATATATATATAAGTGTCCATATATATATATGTATATATATATACATACACACACACAATGGAATATTATTCAGCAATAAAAAAGATGAAATCTTGCCATTTGCAACAACACGGATGGATTTAGAGGATATAATGCTAAGTGAAATAAGTCAGAGAAAGACAAATACCATATGATTTCACTTATATGTGGAATTTAAGAAACAAAACAAATAAAAAAGAGATAAACCAAAAGACAGACTCTTAGCTATAGAAAACAAACTGATAGTTATCAGAAGGAAGGTGGGTGGGGGGATGGGGATTAAGAGTACACTTATGATGAGCACTGAGTAATGTATAGAATTATCGAATCACTCTATTGTACACCTGAAACTAATAATAACACTTAATTATACTGGAATTGAAATAAAATAAATATAAAAAAATTAAAAGAAAGAAATTGAATTAAGAAAATAGTCTGCATGGCTCATTCAGTTAAGCATCTGCCTTCGGCTCAGGTCGTGATCTCAGGGTCCTGGGATCAAGCCCCACATCGGGCTCCCTGCTCATAGGGGAGTCTGCTTCTCCCCCTCCCCCCCACCCCCCTCTCTGCTCATGCTCTCTCTCTCTCTCTCACTTCTCTCTCAAATAAATAAAATCTTCAAAAATTTTTTTTTAAATAGTCTTGTCTTTGCAACATGCTTAAAAATATTGGTATTATGGGCATAGGATTACCTTATACTATCTCTTCTATTTGATATTTAGGGTGAAAAGTTAAGTGTTCAATGAAATAGATGAAATAGATGAAATAGATGAAATAGATGAAAACAAACCCTATCACTGTTATTCTATTTAGAGCTCATTCATCAAATTAAAATAAGTAGCAATGGTATTTTAGAAGAAATTAAGCTTTAGCTATTACTGTAAATGTAACTATTACATGACTAAGGAAAGCTCCCTTTATCTTTCTAAGAAAACTTTTCTCTCCTTGGCTTTACTACAAGTGGAAGATAGAATCAGAACACTACATCTTTCTCAATTAATTCCTGAAGATTAGTAACTCACAATCCTGGTTACATACAAGAATCACTCAAAAAATTTTTCAAAATACAGGTTTTCTGGATCTGATGAATCAGAACCTCTGGGGGTTACAGAGGGAGTGCCTGAAAACTCCCCCAAGTGAGACTGATGCATATCAGTATTGATAAGCAGATACTAGATTCTAGAAGGAGAGTTTTCCTGGTCTCTAAATCTCTAACCTCTCTGAAGGGAGAGGCAGAGAAATGGGACATAATCTGGGAATTGGGGAAGGTGCAGAGATAAGTTTGCCTACATTTTTACATTAAATAAATGTTGACAGATGCTTGATGGGAGGCCAGAAAGTGTTGCCCCATGAGCCTCCATGGTTCTAATACAATCAAACATGTCCAGACTAGCACTTGTCCCTTTAAAAGTGGTGAGAAGGGGCATCTGGGTGGCTAGTCGGTTAAGCTTCTGACTCTTGATCTCGGCTCAGGTCGTGATCTTGGTTCAGGTCATGATCTCAGGGCTGTGAGATCGAGCCCCAGGTCAGGCTCCACTCTCAGCACTGTTTGTGCTTGTCCCTCTCCCTTCTGCTACCCCCCACCCAAATAAATAAATCTTAAAAAAAATAAAAGTGGTGAAAAGTCTGAAGGCCACTATCTACATGTCACTTCTGTGCTAGTTTGGTTTTAAGATGAGAGGCCTCAGTAAAGTCTAAAAGGTCTACCAGGACTTGTGCTCTTGCCTCTACCTACTTTTTCAGGCATATTTCATGCTCCTGTACCTTCTGCCTGTATCTCCAAACTAGCAAACTCTTCCATGTCTCTGAAACGTCACATATTCGCATTCTGTCCCTTCAGCTGAAAAATGTATCTTCCCTTCCAATACACTTCTCTTCTTGTCCCTTCCCTCTGCCTTCCTCTTTTCTCTCCTCTCTCTAATCAATCCCTAATTATTCTTTAAAGCTCATTTTAAAGGAGCTCTTCAAAGGAGACTTCTTCACAACTGAAATCAGGTGTCAGGTCCCTCTTTTTTTTTTTTTTTTTTAAAGATTTTATTTATTTATTTGACAGAGAGAGACACAGCGAGAGAGGGAGAGCACAAGCAGGGGGAGTGGGAGAGGGAGAAGCAGGCTTCCCGCCTAGCAGGGAGCCCGATGCGGGGCTCGATCCCAGGACCCTGGGATTATGACCTGAGCCGAAGGCAGCCGCTTAACCGACTGAGCCACCCAGGCGCCCTCAGGTCCCTCTTTTAATTTCTCATCTCACTCTTTAATTTTTCTCTGCAGTACTTTCCAGAGTCTGGTGTTACACAGTTATTGATGACACTCTTTGTTTAATTTCTGCCCCCCCCACCCCCCATTTAAATCCTGGTTTTGTGAGAGTTGGGCCTGGCTCTCTGTTGCCCAGACCTAGCAAGTTTCTTTCTCCTAGTACAGGTTCAAACACTATCTGTTGAATGAATGAAGTAAATGAGAGAGAGACTAGTTTAGGTCATGCCTTTTCCCCATCCATCCATGCCAGAAAACTCTTTCATTCACCCATTCAAGAGAATTTTTGAAATCCTCCAATGTGCCAATGTTTGTGAGAATTAAAATGATAAATCAGACATAGACTCTTTCCTTGAGGCCCATAGAGTCGAGTGGGGAATAAAAGAGAGGGATTCACATACCTGTTAGAGGTGCCTATAAGGGAAACCATGAACTTTGTTAGTAGGATCAAATTTCAGTCCTCCACTGTTGTCAAAGGAAAGACACTGTCCGTGTGAGAAGAGTGGGGGCCCTCACAGGAAGCTGAGTGACCTCCTGAGTCAGCTGGATTTGAATCCTTCATGTTATGTCGCAGCTGCTTGAATTGAAAGCGTCTAACCTGTCCGTGAAGCACCTCCTCACCTGTAAAATGGTCAGTTTTCTAGTGGACAGGGAACACCGTCTCCACGGAAAATGTTTTTAACAGACTACTGTAGGTTCCGTCACACTGAAGAAGATGTCCACACGGCAAATAGATGTTTAGCATCACTAACCATTGGGGAAATGCGCGTTAAATCCACAGTGAGATATCATGACACAGCTATCAGAACAGCTAAAATAAAAAATGACAACACTAGTTGCCAGTGTGGATGCTAGTGTGGATGTGGGGAAACTGAATCACTCCCACAGTACTGGTGAGAATGTGAAATGGCAGAGCCATTCTGGAAAACAGTTAGACAGTGTCTTAAAAAACAAAACAGAGCAGCTACCCTAGGACCTGGCAATTGGAGTCCTGGGCATTTAGCCCAGAGGAGAGAAGACCGACGCTGACACAAAAACCTGTACACAGATGTTTACAGCAGCTTTATTAGTGAACGCCCAAGCCTGCAGACAATCCAGAATTCCTTCAGCAGGTGGTGAAGCAAACTGTGATACAGCCATATCCTGGCATACTACTAAGAGACACAGAGAAATGAACTGTGAGCACCTGTGGCAATCCGGATGACTCTCCCGTTATGTTGATTGAGTGGAAAAAAGCAAATCACAAAAATGTTACATACTATATGATCCCCTCTGTATACCATTCTTGAAATGTCAAAATTATACACATGGAGAACAGATTCGTGATTGCCAGGGATTAAAGAGGTGGGGGAGGTGGAAGGAAGTTTGTGTGGTTGTAAAAGGGTAATAGGAAGGATCCTTGTGGTGATGGAAGTGTCTGGAAGTCTCTATCTGTAGAAAATTGATGTAATCTCTCTGTATTATTTCTTACAGATACATATGAATCTATAGTTATCTCAAAATAAAAAAGATTACTTTTAAAAAATCAAAACGTGCAGGCCAAATCAGGGAAACAAGTATGTCAGTTTGGCAGTTACGACATGAGCCTTAGATCCGTGACATCATAATGGTAGTGCTCTCAGGTTACTGTGGAATCCTCAGGCTTCAAGCATTTTACAGTACTCTGCCTAGTGCTGTAGACTCACTTGATTTTCAGTCCTGAGAACTGAAGACAAAAGGATGTTCACATCATTCAGAAAGTATGCAGAACTTATAGGTGGTCATTCAAGGCTTCACTGCAGAAGGTAGTCTTTTGATATACTATTTTTGAGCCTCAAAACAGACTGACAATAACAGGAAGTGTTGTTCTCTTTTGTTTCTTCTAATACGTATAAACTAATGAGTAACTTCAGCACCAGCTTCGTGAAAGGCTACTCAGGTTCGTAAGATTCAGTGCTGCTGAGCTGAAGAGAGCAGGGTTTACATTCTCGGAGGAGACACTTTCTTGGCTCCACGAGAGAGAATTTTCCCAGGTCTATGAAAATATCTGTCCTATTTATGAAAGAACTTTTGCATTCTGTTCAATTTAGCTGTTTTACCTATGATGACCAGAAAGTCCTATCAGAGCTCAGTCAGAGCTCAGCCAAGTAATAGCTAAACTCTTGTGTTTAGAAACTTTTTGACGTTTCCAGTATTTTTGCCGATCTTTGAGAATTTTTCCCCCAAGTTTGAATATTGATTTAGATAAGATTTAGATAGATTTAGATAAGTAAATTTCCAGAATCTTCAGTTGTCTTCATTTTTATCTTAAGATGAAAGCAAATTGTAATTAATTCTTCACACACACACCATATCATTTTGTTTTATATTAGGCCGCCAATTGTCCTGTTTGTTGTTGTTGTTTGTTTGCCTTCTTGTAATACACTCTACCTCTTGATCCTCCCCTTCCTAAAAGCTCATGATTAGCTTTGCTGCTTTCTCCACCCCACGTCTAAGTGTTGGCATGCCCAAGGGCTTTGTCCTTGAAACTGTTCTCCATCTGCATCAATTCACCAAGTGACCTCATCTCTCTCTCCTTTTTTAAAATATTTTGTTCATTTATTTGAGAAAGAGAGCATGTGAGAGAGAGAGAGAGAGAGCTCAAACAGGGTGGAGGGGTAGAGGCAGAGGGAGAAGCAGGCTCCCCGCTGAGCAGGGAGCCCGACGTGGGACTCGATCCCAGGACCCTGGGATCATGACCTGAGCTGAAGGCAGACGCTTAACCGACTGAGCCACCCAGACGTCCGACCTCATCTCTTTCAATAGCTTTCTATAACTCAGCGATCCCTGAATGTGAGCTCTGGAGCTCTGCTTTCGGGGTTGAGACTAAATTTTAGTGTTGTGCGAACCTTGACATTTAGCATAAAACTCTATTGTATATTTGACTAGTAACTAGCTGCTCCGTGGTGTTTGGTGGGTTGCAGGAAGAGCTCTTCTGTTGAGGTGGATGCCTGCAGCAAAAGCACTACATCATCTGAGGGTGCCGCCCATACCCTGCTTATCCACGGCCCCGTCGAGCTCAAGAGCGGCTGGAGGAGGCAGAAGCGGCACCTCTTCTTATTCAGCGATTTCTTGCTGGTGTCCAATACCAAGTATGTATACTAAGCAACGTGCCCTTGTGATGATCACGAGGTTACATTTCCATTAACCCTTACCATAAGAAGACATGACATTTTTTTTCTTTTGTTTTTGCCCATGTTTGGATCCTTCATTCATTCAACAAGTACTTATGGAGGTCTTGTTTTGTGCCATACCCCCCTCCCCCCCCCCCGCCTGCAGAGAATACAGTAGAGAATGTGACAAGCAGTGTGTCTCTTGCCTGGAACTTACAAATGACAAAAATAAGAGGGGTAATTATAGATTGTGATTAGTGCTTCTGATAGAAAGTAGACAGGGGGCCGTGTGGAGATGATGGGAACGTATGCGAGAGGGGTAGTCCAGGAGGGCCTCTCCTAGGTGGCAGCACTGAAACTCGATCTATGGGATGAGAAGCAGCCACAGTCCTAGACAAGGTGCCTGAACCTTCTAGGCTGAGGGATCGGCAGGCTCCGTGGGTGCAACCTGACCCCTGGGGGGAGGGGCTCAGGAAGGCTGATTTGATGGGAGCCGAAAGCATGGGGCATGCGATCAGATGTGAAACTGCGCTCAGGGTCCAGGCACACACGGTCTTCACAGGCCATGGTGAAAAGTGGAACTATTTTGCCAAAGCCTTCTTAACTAGGACTGACCGACTCTGATTTATAGCTCTCGCAAATTTTTCTGACTGTTGGCAGGTAATGGGTGGATGGTTAAGCGAGAGTGGGGGCAGGGAGACTGGTTAGGGGAGGCAGTAGTCCTGATGGCTGCTCCCAAGGGCTCCAGGATAGGAGTGCAGTGAAAAGGAAGGAGGCAGCAGACAGCCTGGGAATGTATGCTGGAGACAGAACTAACTGCGTGCACTTTCCTCTCAACCCTGAACACAAAGGTAACTGATAGCCAGCCTGGAACCTGATGATTGCTCAATAACTGTCCAAAAGCAGGTGGATGGGAGGTCAGCTGTTTACTTGCTCTGTCTCTGTTTTCATTATTCACAAAACATCATGAAAGACAGACTATTCCAACAAACCAAAGATCAAGAAGCTTTTAATCACCAGAAAAAGAACTACGCCCCCTTTATTTTGCTGCCCTCACCAGCTCCCAGTTATGCCATGCCATTAGTAAGACATGCAAGTACTAACTTGGCAAAATGCTGTACTCAATCTGAGTGACATTAATGATAATTTATCAGGGGCTTACTACATGACAGATGTTATGCTAAGAACTTCATGTATGTAATCTTCTCCAACCTCACAACTACCCTGTGAGATGGGATTATTTTCATTTTAGAGAAGACCTCTGAAAATCAGAGGTCTGAAGGTTTTGCCCAGGTCACCATATTAGTGATGAGTAGAGTCTACGTTTGAAATTAGGTCCGTTTCTTTCAAAGTACAGGCTTTTATTCTACGTGTGGTGCTGCTGTTTCTATTATTTCTATTTTTCTGAATTTCATGCAACATTCCATGAACACCTAGATTCTCTCTCATTATTGAAATCAACCTTTCCTTTATGTTGAGTAAACAACTCCAATCTGCTTGGTATCTGGTAAGAAATAGGTCAGAATGCTTAGTGAACTGAGAAATGAAGGTAGTGTAGCTGTCCAAAAAAAAAAAAAAAAAAAAAAATCAGAGGCAAAGACAGAAATAGTAAAATATATTTGAGATGAGTGATATTGCCTACAGATGTAGCCTTGGAGGTGGTGATGTCATGAGGAGGACAGAGAGAAAAAGACTGTCCAGGTCCTGGCATGAGGTCCATATGACGCACTCTGCTCCTCCTGATAGAGGGCCACATCATTATTTTTTAAAAAGCAGACTAGTTACCATTCTCTTTATTTAACCAAGGTGAGTACAGGAGACTAAAATGTGTGGGATGCATGCTGGGGACCACACAAGGAGCATTACAGATTCCTCCTGTAATTTCCCCACAGCCCTCCAAGGCCAGTATTGTTACCATCCACCGACTGCAGAAATGAAAGTGGGGATGGAGGAAGTCTCAGGAATGGACCTGTCATCCACAGGGAAATGATGGGAGAGACTCCAAGCCAGGCCTGCCTTCATCCCAAGGCCACACTCTTCCTGCCACACCATGCCACACCTACTCTTGCATGCTCAGCCCGAGACACGCTAACAAACAGCAAACTCCTTTCCTGCTCCTTGGGACCTTGCAGAGCACTCACATTCGATTTATAAGGGGAACAGGTTGTCCTTCACTTTGTTTTCATCTTTGTAATTATTATAGCACTTAGGGAGAGGAGAAGACCTTTCTTTTCTTACTAGAGCCATTTATTGTCCTGGATACTGCTTACCTCTCAGCGGGTTTTACGGAACCTACGGTGTTCTGCTGAAAAGATTTTATATAAAGGCAGTGTTCTTTCCCCATGAGAGAACTGCATCCTTTTAAGAGCTGAATTTTTTATTTTGATTGGTTCACTATTACAAAAGAAGTGCAACATTTTTCCTCTTCACATATTGCTTTTGAGATAGGTCTTTGTGTCTACGCAAGGGTTTTTATGATGTGAGAAAATCTACATCAACGTATTTAATAATGTTCTCTTTAAGAGACTCAGCTCCGGAAAGATTATCTTATATACTTTTTACATCCATTTGGAATATTAGAAAATGTAAGTGATCTCAGGTACTTGAATTTGGTTTCTAAAACCAAGGCCCTTGACAGAGAGAGAACACAGATTTTTGGAAGTCCAAGTTCGGGACACCATCAGGGTCAGGTTCCCGCGAGAGCTGTCTTTCCCGCGAGAGCTGTCTTTCTGCTTGCAGATGGCTGCCCTCTCGCCTATGCCCTGTGGGGTTTCCTCAGCGCCTGCACGCACACACACACACACACACAGAGCTCTCTCTCCCTCTTCTTACAAGGGCACCAATCCTACTGGATTAAGCCCTTACCCTGATGGCCCCATTTACACTTAGTTACCGCTTAAAAGCTCTCTCTTCAAACATGGTCATATTGGCAGAGAGGGCTTCACGGTAAGACTGTGGGGAGCAGTGGGGGAGGGGACACAATTCTGTCCCTAGCAGTCACGAGCAGCACTTCATGCTGTGGCCGCGTACAAGTTTTTGCCACAGTTTTTAGAAAACGACCATGAGGACATTCCCATAGTAAATATTTGGGTATATTTATGATCACTGTTAATATTGGAAAAGTTTACATTTTTTTCTCTAGAAGGAAACAACTAAAAAGAAATATCTCCTGCATTAACAACCTTGTTTCATCCCTGTCATCCTTGTTCTTGGAGGATTGTGTTATGCCCTGAATCAATCTGTTCAAATTAATAATCTGAATTTAGGGCCTTCGTTTTCCAATTAGCCATAAGAAGGGGTTGGGGTGACCCAGGTTCCATTTTACCTCAGCTCACCTGCAGGCTTCAGCTGGAAACTCTCATCTTTAGGTTGACGCTATAGAAATTAACACAAATTGGGTAAGTAGTTGACTAATTGCTACCTATTTATTCTGTCAAAATTAGTGAATTTTAGTTTGTGTTTAATAATAAAAGGAATTTAAATGTTTGTTTCTTCACAAAGAACTTATATTTCTCTAGTCGTACAAGATGTTAATAATAGTGAAAATTGTTTGGGGATTCTTTTCATACACCTTCAGAAATTTCTCAAGAATTAAGGTCAGATGGAACCTTCCTTATTACTTTTGATATTCATTAGAATACTAAATAAGTTATTTTTCAAAGAAAATTATTACTTTATTTTTAAGAACAGTATCTGCTTGATAAATATTAAGATATTAATACTAGTAGAGGCCCATGAAGAATTTACAAAAAGGAAGGGACTGAACTTAGTTCTTTAGACATCACATTCCTCATATGTAGTTATTAAAGAATATAAAATGAAACAAAAAATGAATTTAAATTAGGTCAAAAGATGAAGATGACTATTAACTCATTATCCGTGAAATTACAAAGAATTACTTACAGAATATAACAGGACCCCCACTCCCAACATCTGTAAAAGGATACCCCTATCTTAGAACAGGGGAAATCCCCCTAGAATCCTGTAAATTTCCACAGTGCACTGGGGCTTCCCTTCTGGTATAAAGGTTGAGGTAGCAGAAAGCAAGAGTGATATCCATCATGTTAATACAAATATAATAAAGGACTATTTTTAGAAATAAAAACCACAGTTCTTTCTCCTCCTCTTTCTTCTCCTCAAGTCAGTTTACATCAGATTAATACTTTCTAATTTCTACTGAGATAATCCAGTTGGGTCAGTGATTGAGAGTGAAGAAATGCAGTAAGACCCTAGAAGAATCCACTGAAGTATGAAGCTTTGTTGTAATAAACTTTAAATATTTCCAAGCTAGTAACCAGCTTTGTTAATATAATGTCTTGAGATTTATCCTCTCACTCCCCAGATAATCCAATGAGAAAGCCTGATGGCTCTGGGGACCGAAGTGAGGCTGAGTGAGGGTAGGAAACATGAGAAGGGTAGTTCATGGAACGATAGGTCAGCACCCACAGAGGCCAAGTGGTTACAAACATGGGCTCAAGAGTTAGGCTGTCTGGGTTCAAACTCTCTTGCCTTTGGCAATTTAGTTGACCTTTCTGTGAGTTTCCTTATTTGTAAAATGGAGCTAATAAAGACCACCTAGTGTAGTTGTTTGAGGATTACATTTTTTATATTTGTATTTATAAAATGTTTAGAACAGTGCTTGGCATATGATAAGTGCTCCAAATGTGATAGGACAGTCGAAACCATGCTCTGGGCTTTGGGATAACTCCTTGGTTTGGCGTAGATAATCTTGGTGCTTTCTTGAACTAAGGAGAGAATTACTGAAATGCCTTTTTCCAGGTCAATGTATTTGGAAGTTCCCACACAGTACCTTGCGTGTCTGTATACACACAGATACCTACATTAGAAAAAAAAAAAAAAAAATCTTAAAAACCAACAGATATATGTCTATCTTTCCCATTAGCCATATGTTTTTACCTTGACAATGCCTTTGGAGTTACTATCTAGAAAAATGATTTTATCTGATATCTGATAATGATTTTATCCGATGACTTTATTCATTGTGTCATAAACTTTGAATCTAGATTATCCTTCAAGTGTGCTTCCAGCAAAATTATTTTTATTTCATAAAACCCATTGGAGAGTCTTAGCTTTAATTGTTCCATGAATCACTGGAGTCATAGGGATTTTTGCACATGAGGTGTCTTTGATCTCATTTTAGTTTAGTGTTTCCACATGTGTTTCTGAATAGTAAGGAGTTCCAGAGTGGTGTGTCCAAGTTCCCTAAGCATCCCTCAGAGGGCTTATAACTATTTAAATCCCAAGCCCACCTGAGAGTTAAAGTTGTGAATTAACCAAATTAATCAATATGGTGGTTTTCATGTTAGAGATCAAAGAAGATTAGGCAGAAATTGTCAAAAAGCAATTTCACCACTGACAAAGTTGATCACCTTCTGACTCCTCAGAGAAATGGGAAGTATCCATCACTCACATATAAGACCTCCTGACCACTGATCTGGGATTGATTGATGGATGGATTGATGATTTTTAAATTGGGCTCAATCTGTAGGCTAACAGTTTTTCAGTTTTAGCCAGAATCTAAGGGAAAATGATATGGATAAAATTTTAAGAAGGGAAATTGAAAATAACCTATGCTTTAAAGGCTAGAAAGTATTTTTTTAAAATTAAGGTTGAAAATAACTTTTAAATCTTTCTGATCCCCAAAAAAAAAAAAAAAAAAAATCTTTCTGATCCAAGTTTATTTTTTGTTCTTGGTTTGTCTCTCTCTCTCTCTCTCTCTCTTTTTTGAAGATTTATTTATGTATTTATTTATTTTAGAGAGAATGAGCGTGAGCGGGGGGAGGGGCAAAGGGAGAGGGGAAGCAGACTCCCCACTGAGAGGGGAGCCTTACATGGGGACTCGATCTCAAGACCCTGAGATCACCACCTGAGCCGAAACCAAGAGTTGGATGCTTAACCGACTGAGCCACTCAGGCGCGCCCCCTGGTTTGTGTCTCTTAAGCAAAAAATTGTATGACTATTTTTATAAATCGTGTATCAGGTAGCTTTGTTCAGCCCCTCAAATACTTTTTGAAGTAAGCAAGTCATAAATGAATAATTAACTATAATAATAACCATAAAACTATATATAATAAGAAACAAATTCTAACAATAATAAATGAATTAATGGTTTTCTTAAAAAGCTCTGGAATATATAGTCTTTACTCAACACTCAACATTCAGAAAAATGGCCACTTGCTGCCATTTGAGGAAGTGTTTTCAGGGCCTTCCTAGGGCCAGACTTCGCTCAACACACACTTTGTAAAGGTCATGTCACCATTTGCTGTGCTGGGCACAGAGGGTAATAGAGACAAGGGAGGCATGCTGTGCCCTGGAGCAGTGAGAACTGGTCTCTGATGAGCACAGCTGTTCCCATAACATTTATGAAACAAACTAACAGAGGTCTTGTTTGGGTATCTTTCTAGGTATAAGAAAAAACTTAAGATAAAAAAGAAAATACCACTGAACACCATATGGACTGCCAACTGTATGGACAGAGTGGAGGATGCCAACATCTGTGCTGGGAGGTCCTTTATCCTGGGCTGGCCCACGGTGACCTTTGTGGCCACCTTCGGGTAAGACCGACCGTTTGGTCTTGTATTTACATGGGTTAAAAAGGAAAACATTTTAATCTGATTATATGTCAAGCCAGTGACTCCCTTTTTGACTTCCCATAATGACACTCATTTGCCTTGTACTTTCCCCCAAAAGGTATGTACACATGGGAGCAAGTAGATAACATAGAGTGGGAACTATTGGAGTAATTTCTTTTGGTTTTGATCAGTGGTTTTTCCCATGGGCTCTAGGAGCCACTTGAGGAATTGGGTGTTTTAGGCATATGGAAGGAGAATCAAGAGAGTGAGGTTCTAGAACCCCTCTCCAATATCCTGCCCCCTAATTCCCAGGGGGTATGTGTGTTTCTAAATCACTGGCATATTTTTCTTGAGCAAGTACTATTAAAGAGTCCAATTAAATTTGAAAAATTGCTCTTATACTCCCAAGGTCATTCCTTTAAAAATAGTATGGAATTATACAAATAAATTAATCATGTCATTGAATATGAGGTTGCCTGAATTGCTGTGTACTGATTATCTTAGTTGGTGTCTCTAGAGAGGTGACCATCTAAAACAAAAGTATGATTGCATTGAGTAGAGGTTAGTTGTGCAAGACACATTCTTAGGCTGACACGAGGATGGGGAATGTGACTCTCTACCCCGGACATCCTGAGCAGACACTCCTGAGTTTACAGGGGTGGTGCAACACTTACATCTGCTGTTTGAAACAACCACACCCCAAGTCTCATTCTTGTTTTGCACAATGAGTGTTCATCACATGCACTTAACACCCTTCTTTCTTCTCCTCACCCCACTCCACCAAAATGTCCCACGTCATCACAAAGGGAAGACAACGAAAATGTTTACAAGTTGTTAATTTATGAAGCCCTATAATGCAGCGTTGACTTAAGGAGAAATTTTCAAAGCTTATTGGGAAGAAATATGTATTTATATGCTCTCCGCATGTCTTCTTTTCCACGACGTATTTCTGTAATTCTCAGTTCCTCTTGCTTCCTGTCTTCTCCATGTTGCAAATGGAAGGAAACAGTTTCAATTGGGAATGTATAAAGTCTTTGACAGGGGAGTTTCCAAGAGACTTTTTTTCCCTAACAAGGAGGAAAATGGGGAAGCCAGGCTTATACATGCTATATTAGTTAAAAAGCTGTGTAAACATATAGAAGGCATTTATAACAATTCCTGGCACCTAGTGCTTTTGCTATTTGTGATTATTACTGTTCTGCAGATCAGCATGGCTAACTAGAAGCTGTGTCCATGCGCATAGGCAGGCTGGGACGCTAAGTGGGCGTTCCATTTTCCAGATGGGACAAATCCTGAAACAGCGATGGAGGGGTTGGGGAGCAGTGTTGCTGGGAGGAGTATAAAATGTGGCAGCCGCTGTGGACAGTTTGATGGTTCCTCAGTAAGTCAAACAGAATTACTATACGACCCAGCAATGCCACCCCCAGATAGATACCCAAGAGAAACATAGGTCCACACAAAAATTGACACACAAACATTCATAGCAGCATTGTCGACAATAGCCAACAAACAAACAAACAAACAAAAGTAGAAACAACCCAAGTGTTTATCAACAAATACACAAAATATGGTACAGGAGCTAGAAACAGGAAGGAAGGAAGAGTGACTGCTTCGTGGACACAGGTTTGCTTTTGGGTGAAAAAATGTTCCAGAACTAAACAGTCACGGTAGTTGCACAAAACTGTGAATGTACTAAAGGTCACTAATGGTCAATTTTATTTTGTGTAGTTTACCACAGTAAAAAAACGCTAGTAAGTGGTAAGGCCATGTATGCATGAGGCTTAAAACATTCGCAACTTTGGGTATTAAATGCTGTGAAAACTTTAGTTGAGAAAAGACTAACCTTTAGTAGTTTAGCACTAGCTGGATTGATCTTGCTCAGAGGATCACAGTAACGAAGAATGTTTTCTAGAAACTAATTTAACACATTCCAATCTGATATGTGTATAAAGAAATAAAAATATTACAGGTGTTTTTTCCTAAAAAGCTATTCTTGTTTCTGGGCCAAGATAGTTCCATCCAAATGCCAAATTCCTTAAGTATGATTTAATTTGAATAATAATGTTCTTTATATCTGAATAGCACTTGCAGCTGCAGGAACACTCGGGGTATAATTAACCCTTTTCCAGTTCTGGAAACTGAAGATCAGCGCAGTTAAGCAAAGTGCCCATGATCACATAGCTTGCATCACATAGTTACAATTAAGTGTTCAGATTCAAAACCAACTTTTCTCCCACTTTAGGGTCTACTTCCCATTGCTTTAATACGCTCATAAAAGAGTGGGGTCCCTCCAAAGCGCAACAATGAGGACAGTATGATATTAATACATGCATCCACATCCTTAACAACTGGCTGCTGATATTTTTTTTCTGGAATGGTGATCTTATTTTGCTAGTATAAATATTGTATGTATCTTAATTTTTTCTTCCCATTTTTTTTAAATCGCAGTTCTTCGGAACAAAAGGAAAAATGGCATTCTTTCCTTCAAAGGTATCTTGTCACTATACATATTATACATCTTTAACCCATGAGAAAAGAATAAATCTCTTCAAAGCAGTGCCCCCACACACTATGCTTCCCCTACTTAGTAGAAATTGTTAGACTATCCTCAAATAATTTCTTATTTAGATGTACCCTGGCTGCTATTGCAAATAATCTGCTCTTATTTACATGCACATATTGCTTATTTTTGATGAAATTCTGGTTATCACTCTCATCTTCCCCTTCTCTCAGACCTAATGATTGGAGCTAACATTATTCTCAAAAGATACATATTAAATTTTCTTAAGTGCAATTTACTCTCCTGAGTGATGCTCAAAGCACCTTCTCATTCCTACCCTTGAAGGTGCTGGGCCCTCCAGTCTAGGCAGGAAAGCTTTGATGACTGGATCTGCTACTCACATCTTACATGACAAGAGCAACCTGTTGTTTTCTGAGTCATGTCTTATTTTCCTGAAATAGTTTTGCATGTTTTCTTCCAACCCATAATTTGATGTTGCTGAGTTTATTTACATGCATTTAAAAATAACAGAGTATGTTGAAAATTTTAGCCACATAGATCAATTTGAAAGTAAGCTAATAGCTAATTCATCCTACTCTATTTGGGGTTCTTATTGAATTTGATTAGGTATATCAGTCTGGCCAAAGAGAAGGACCAGCCCAAAAGCATTCCTCTCAGAATCTTCACTGAGGACATCAAGAACTGTGCCTGTGTAAGTGTTTTTAAGACCAAAAATTAAATTCCATGTTCCTGATTCAGATAGAATGAAAGAGATGGAGATGGAGATGGAGATAGAGAGAGGGAGGGAGGGAGGGAGGGAGAGATGGAGAGGTAGGAAGGAGAGAGCAAAAGATAAGAAGAGAGAGAGTATTTAGAAAAGTACCATGTGGGAAAATGTATTTTCCTGTCTACACGTGTCTTTGTATACATAAAGAGTGAATCCTAGGTAATATGAAGCGAGAGGAATCCATGCCACGGTACTTAAGCATGGAAAGAATATTGCATGTTAAATATCCATAATATTTCCCTGGCTCTTTCTAATAGCAACAACACTGGCTTCTAATAAGGTGATTTTCACATGCAGGTATTTCCTACTAGAATTAAACATTTTTCCCAATGGTTACTACTTATGTACAGAATGGTTTGGATTGTTTCCACAGTTCTCCACCCTCCCCCCATTGACGCTTTATTTGGTATAACTGTAAACTCACAGAAAAGTTGTAGGTATAAAAATAAAACAAAAAACACCCCATGCACCCTTTACCTAGATTCAGCTATTAGTAACATTTTACTCCACTTGCTTTATCATTTATTTTCTTTCTCTGTCCCTATTATGTGTATGTTATACTTATTTTTGAGGGTCATACAAATGCCATGGCCCTTTATCCTTAAACCTAGGTATTTCCCAAGAATAAAGATATCCTCTTATATCACCATCACACAGTTATCACCTTTAGTAAATTTAACATCGGTGTAATACTTTACTCTGCCTTCCATGTTCCCATTTTGTCAGTTGACCTCAATAATGTCTCCTTTCCAGTACAGGATCTCCTCAAGGGTCAGGTATTTCACTTAGTAGTTATATCAACTGCAGAGGGGTTTTGAAAGGTCTTTTGATCCAAGGAATATCAGGGTTGAATTGAGCTCAGAGGGATGACACTTTTAAGGGATCAGCATATTTCTATCTCATTTTCTTTTGGCTGTTGGGGGAAAAAAATCAAAACAGTTGCCCATTCTTGATATAAAATTTGATTTCTGAAATTGTAGTGCAGTAGCCAAGACATTTGCAATGATGAACAAGATACTTTGGGTATCTTTAAGTGACATTTTTTTTTTTCCTGTTATACTTTACAGTAGCTCTAGGTCACACAAAATAGTATTTGAAGGTGGAAAAAGTGGTAGTTATTCCTGGCCAAAGCAAAAGCCATGCAAATATTTTGATTGGTTTCTAAGCACCAGGTAGATGCATTGCATGAAGGAGATAAGGCCAGAGGGTTCTCTAGCAGCAGAGCACACTCTTGTCTCTGCCTGCTTTGATTTCAGCTGTGGCAGTGGGTTACACTCAGAATTTTCCATGGAAAATTACCTTGAAATCTTTAAAAATCAACTTTATTTATGTATAATTTACACAAAATAAGCATTTCTAATGTTCTTCACTTGTTCCTGAACATCCAAGTTTCCCTCTAACACTGTTTTCATTTCATCCTAGAGAGATGATCCTTAGCATTTCTTGTGCAGACCTGGTGCAAACAGATTTTCTTAATTTCTCTTATCTGAATATGGCTTTATTTCACACTCACTCTTGAAGGATATTTTGAGGGATGTAGAATTTTGTTCGCAAACCTTTTCCTTTCAGCTCTTTAAAGATGTTCCACTGTCTTTTTGTCTTTGTGCTTTCTGATGAGTAGTCTGTGATCAATCAAACATTAATCCCCTGTAGGTGATTTGTCATTTTTCTCTAGCTGCTTTCAAGAGTTTCTCTTTATTTTTGGTTTTTAGCAGTGTGGCTATGAAGTATCAAAGCATGGTTTTCTTTGAATCTGTCCTCTTTGGCATATTCTGAACTTCTTGAATTTATAAATTTAATTTCACCAAATTTGGGAAATTTTAATCATGATTACCTCAAATATTTTCTTCCCCATTTTCTCTCTCCTCTCCTCCTGAGAGTCCAGTTATATGTATATTAGACCCTTTCATATTGTTCATAGATCCCTCAGACTCTTAATTTTTTCAATCTTTTTTTCCCCTTTTCTTCTTCAGACAGGATAATTTCTATTATCTATTTTCAAATCACTGACTTCTTTTTGTCATCTCCATTATGCAATGTAGCCTAGTCAGTAAATTTTTTCTTTAAGATATTTTTCAGATAAAAAATTTCTGTTTTTAAATATTTTTAGTTTCTATGCTAAGATGCCTCTTTCGTTTATTGTGAACATATTTTCATTTGTATCATTGAGCATTATTGTAATAGCTGTTTTTGGCTAACAGTCTGAACATCTAGATCATCTCAGGGTTGGCTTCAGCTCTTGAGAATTGATCACATATTCCTTGTTCTTCCTATATTAAGTAACACTTTGACTCATATAAAAAAAAGTAACATTTCTTTTTCTTTTAAATTATTTCAAAAAGCAGCTTATTTTTCTGAAGTCATTTGTTTACAGAGAGCTCTATCTACTGGAATTTATCTGTTTTGGAGAACCTACAACATGCAGGAAAATATACATACATCTCTGGAATTACTATTTTGAACATAGTATGTTCCTTATACCATGAAAACCATTATCTTGCAGACCAGATAAATTAAAAAGTGATTATTAGTATTTCAAAAGAGATTTTTTTTTCTTTAAAAAGATTTCATGGGAGGGATGCCTGGGTGGCTCAGTCAGTTATGCATCTGCCTTCGACTCAGGTTATGATCCCAGGGTCCTGGGATGGAGTCTTGCATCAGGCTCCCTGCTCAGAGGGGAGCCTGCTTCTCCCTCTGCCTTCTCTTCCTGTGGCTCCCCCTGCTTGTGCTCTCTCTCTGACAAATAAATAAACAAAAATCTTAAAAAAAAAAAAAAATTTTGTGGGAAAGATTTTAAGTTGTACTGAAAGGCTTTCAGACATCTTAAAAAAAATAGCAGAGCCATTACTTCTAACTAAATTTCAAGCTAAGACCCAGTCTTGAATCCTCTAGACAATTTAACATAGGAAGCCCCTCCTAGACAATTTAACATAGGATATCCTTGAGTTTGGGTGCTCTGAGTCCTACTGCTAGGTTCTGAACACTTTTTTTTATAATCCTTAAAGCTCAAGTAGTTTGAAATCAATGAACACTTTTGTTTATAAAAGTTCGATTATCAAACAACTTTTGGGCCATCTGTCATATCAAGCAATTGCATTTCAATTCATAAGAAGAAAAATACAATGAAAGAACAAGTTTCTTTTAACTTTGTTTTTAATATTTTTAAGGACTGTGAGTGTCCACTTCTGTTGCTTGTCTTCTTCATGCACTGTTTCTCAAAGAACACAGGCCTCATTGCCTAATAATGTTATAAAAAGTGTATGCGTGGTTGGTTACATATTGTCCTATTTTAAAATGTCTTTTGGAATTCGGGTAGTTTTATAGATATCATCTCAGATTCCTATCCATCCCTTTCAGATAATTTTCAATAACTGTTTTCCTTGTTGTATGGAGCAGTTTCTCAATATAAGGTGTGATAGAGAGATATTATAAGTAACTACTCACTGTCAGAGTTGCGAATGGAATATAAACTTCTAAAATTTTCAGTCTCATTTCCTAGACTCATTGGTTTTATTTGTCTCAACAGATTTCAACAATGGAAATCTTAGTAACCATGATGACACAAAGACAGTACTGACTAAATAGTAGTTTAAAAAAAAAAAAATGTCTGTCACAGACGGTTCTTATTCTGATTTTGCTGAAACTGAGTATGTAATTGCGAAGAGAGAAAAGTATCTAGCTCCTCCTTTTTAAACTATCTCCCCTCTCTATTTTGGGAATAGCCTTATGGAGCTGAGGGTCAGTTCATGTCCCCTCGTGGAATTCTGTTTTTCTCTTTCTTGCTTAAGCTGCTATATTTTGTAAGCCACAAATCCTTGAAGGGAAATATATGTTTCACTGAAATGTTTCCTACTAGCTTCATGTTATGTAAAGAAATGAAAATATAATCAAGGGTGTGTGCTCTACATATGCTTTACTTTGTCATTAACTGAAAACAAGCTTTGCCTTTAGAGTATGGATAATAATTTGACAATAATTATTTGGTCACCTGCTTTAAATTTTTAAAAATTTATAGCAATTTTTCTTATTTCTTTTTTACAGTCTGTAACTGTAACAGTAACAAATTCAGACACAGTGAATGACATTATCAACATGTCACTACCAATGCTAGGAATAACTGTAAGTTCCCTTGCAAACTATTTTTAATTTAAAAACCATCTTTGACTTTTGAGATTTGTGTGTGTGTGTGTGTGTTGTGTACCTCCCGTTATAAGACAGCTGATTATTATACATATCATAGTCATATTTTGTCCCCCAGATTTAGAAATTGAAGGCAGCAAAGCTATATTATTAGCCTATACATGGGTGCTCTTCTTGTCTTCCCATTTTAAATTTTCTGCGAATTCAAAATCATAGCATAAAATTGGGCTATAATTTTAGAGTGCTAATAACAACATGCAGTTTATTGTATATATTTTATACACAGACAATAAAATATTTCTAAGTTTCTAAATATTTCCTCCTCTATTGGACTCTTCTGTCTGTGTCTTCGTTCCTGATTCCTCCCCATCCCTGTTTACCCTGGTCATCACCCAAGGACTCAATCCCAGTTAGATGAATCCTAAATTATATGTTTTGTTGTACATTTTGACATAAAGACCACATGGCTAGAAGCTACCTCCTCTTGATGCAGTTCCTTGGGATGAGGCGGCTCACACCCCTTATGAACTGGTAAAGAGGACAAGTTCTGAATAAGACCATGATCTGGGGGCAGTTGCGTACATATCACTTTCATCTTGTTTTGGTTTTAACGGCCTGTTCCTTTATGTTTTGATGGTGCTGGTGTGAGTTGCTGGATTTTTTTTTTTTTTTTTTTTGATGAAAAACATGGACATATTTGAGGATGAGGTTTTCTAAGGGAAAAGAGCGGGAGAGTGATAGTCAGATGGACAGAACTGAAGGGAGCACTTGTAAAGCACAGCTTCTTATATAAAATCCTCTATAAATGCAAAAATGTCTTGCTATTATGACATGATATAATTACAAGATTCTTACTTAAATTCTGTCTGACCCAATGGTATAATAAAGCCCCTTAAAAATTCAGAGCAACTGGAATTTAGCATAAGAAATCAATGATTTCTGTACAAACAAAATTTAATAATATATCTGAAATAAAATTGAATTTATAGGTACTGAGTAAAGCACATATCTACATTGATTTCTAACCTGTATGATATATATACCCTAAATAGGAATTAAGTCTTAGAAAGAGAGTGAGTGGTTTTAGGGATGAAGTTGAGGAGATTGATTAATGATGAGGCTCATTTTATTTCATGTTTGTGATTTTCCTTTGCATAAAGTGATCAATCTCAGCACACAAAGAATTTCTGTTTTAATGAAGAATTGGGGTTATTTGGCTTTATGTATGCCTGATTTAAGGGATCCCAGCATAGCATTTCCAAACCCTACCCTACCTTACTGGCTCTCACGAGTTATTTGCAATACAATTTTGAGCAGATTTAGCTATGTGTGTGTGTCTGTGTGTCTGCGTGTGTCTGTGTGTGTGCTGTGTCCATACCTATGACCTTTCTTCATAAGGGCAAGACCATGATTTTGAATCAGGAGTCCAGGGCAAGCATAGTACCTATCACCAACAACTCCACGTCAAACATTTTTTGCTTTAGTCTCCTGGAAGACTCTCTAAAATAGTTCAGCGATCTTTATAATTTAGATGTGTTTGTTTCAAGTAGGACTTCCAGGTTTACTGGGCGGTAATTCTGCTGGGAGTAATTGTTTTCTGCATCTGATATGTTGTCTAGGTTAGAGTCCTTGTTCTTTCTCTCCCTGAAGTGGGGCTTGCCTGCACCAAAGCCAGTGGCTGACTTCAGTCCACTATCTCCTCAAGGCCTCTTGGGCGTTTGTCTCCTTTTGCCCAGGGCTGCTGAGCTATTGATGCCTTTCAAGTTACTTTGCTCAGGAATAGTCATAGCAGGGTATATGGCTCTCTGGACAATATGCATGTCAGGGCAGGGACATTTGGCGGCAAAAGCCAGCATTATCCAAGGAATCTAGAGACAGCGGAAGGCAGGACTCTGAGATTAGAAGTTTCCTCCTTAGCGAAGGGGCACAACTGTGATTTCTTAAGCCATGGGCCACCCACACCATGAGGGGCTGATTGTACTGTGGTTTCCTGGCCTTTATCAAAAATGACAAGAACCTGGGACGGTCCACTGGAGGCTATGAGGGAACAAGTTAACAAGTACTGTAGCTACCTCCATGGACCAAATGGCATTTATACTGGCCCCAATTCTTCCTTTCTGGAAACAGAGAAATGCAAAGGAAATGTGTTCTTCAAGTACTGTGAAAGATTTGTTATGATGCATAGTTCTTTTTGTTTCCAAGGGCTCTGAGAAAGACTACCAGCTGTGGGTGAGTGCTGGCAAGGAAGCGTCCCCACACCCACTCACTGGTAAGTGTCAGGGAAAATCTAAGATGGGATTGATTAGGTTCAAAATTGTAACTCTACATCTCAAAGTAATGGTTGTTCTATCTTCAGCTTAAATACCCTTAAAAGTGAAAATCACATGCAATATTCACTCTCACGTTTATTAAAGAATTACCAGGTGCTTACTTTTTCCCAGGCACTGAGGACATCTCTTCATTCATCAGCTTAAGGTCTAGTTAGGGAGAGAAATGTAAATTTTTCGTTTCTACTTCATTTTACCTGACAAACAGAGCTGTCTTAAAAATTTTTTTGTTTATTGTTTACTTACTTATTTACTCACTTAGGTATGAAAGCAAAGAATTGGAATTTCTTTTTCCCATCCATTTATTTTTCATATTCCAGTCTTGAATTCCAGTTCCTAACAACTAAATAGCCTCTATTTTGTGAGAATCCGCTAAAATCCAATCATGTCTCTGAATCCAGGTATAGGTATGTATTTAACACCTGCTCTGTGCCCAGAAGTTTTCTCAGCATCATAAAGAAAATGAGATAATCACATTTAAACTCCTCAAGTCTTCACTGACTAAACTACCTGCACTTTGCTGTTTCTCAGGCTTTTTCCATCACTGTTCTTAAGGTTATTGATAAACAGATTACACCTCTCCTAAAGTAGTTATCAGCACAAGTTCTCTAAAAAAAAATCTTTGGATTAGCAAAATTGTTCAGTGCTTACCAGAAATAGAAGGATTAAAAAACCAGAGAAAAAAGAGAGGATCTGTAGCAGACCTTGAAGTATAGTAATGTATGGTAATGGTGACAATGATTTCTGCTAGAAATCTTAGAGCATTCCTTCTTACATGCATTTTTCAAAATCTTTTTAATAATCCTGTGAGGCGGGATGCCTGGGTGGCTCAGTTAAGTGTCTGCCTTTGGCTCAGGTCATGATCCCAGGGTCCTGGGCTCCTTGCTCAGTGGGGAGCTGCTTCTCCCTTGGCCTGCCGCTCCCCCTACTTGTGCTCTCTCTCTCTCTGACAAATAAATAAATAAAATCTTAAAAAGAAAATAATCCCGTGAGGCTATTACTCTTTTTCAAGTTATCTAAAGAATATTTTCAAGTGATCTGGAAATCTAAATAACCAATTTCTTTCTACGAAATGTATATTCCCAGTCTTAGAATACAGAGAGTCACCAAGGGCATAGCTGAGGAAAAAAATCCCCCCCACCATTTCATGTTTCATATTAATATTGACATCTCTGTAAAAGTCGGCCAACCACAAAAAGGAAAAAGTCAAATACTTAAATATATTTATTTTAATAAAGTGATTAATTTAGGTAAAACAATAGAGATGATAACTTTTTAGACTTTGAGCAGCTTCACACACCAAGGCAGCTCTAAGGAATCCGGAGAGCCTGTCATTCATGATGATCCATTGGCAGCATTCAAAATGCATTTTTAACCAATGCTCTCAATTCTCAACTGCAGATTATCTCCTGGTTATCTTTGTGATTTGGTTGTATTGCTGTCGTAGAAGCTTCTTTTTCCTTAAAAGAGGGAAGTCACTGTGATTCTTGTGAACACATCACTGACACTGCATCCATGACAGATGAGAAGGAACAGCAAAAGCTCCCCAAGTTACATTCAATAATAAATCAGAAACGACAGAAAGAGAACTTCCATTCTGTTCTTAAAAAATGAGATCCATATCCTATAGCACAGGGTCTTTGAGAATTCTATAGAGAGGAAACAATTTAAAGCATACAAGAACAAAACAAATCACTTGGCAGGCAACTCTCACTGACTCTGGGTGCAGTTTTCCACTCTGTAAACATCGTTTTGCACTTTGCTTCTGGGTTCCCAACACTGTGCAGCCTTCCCTCTGATCATCACCTGGCAGGACTCCCCTTGGAGGAAGGGCAGCAGTGGGAGGGAAGTATAAAGCATAAAAGCAACCCATCCCACTGCCCTTGAGTAGCTCTGCCTCTAGAAATTGACAAAACGAAATGAAAAAAAATCTGCTCAACTGACATTATGTGAGAGAGAATAGCAATTCTTAATATATATGTTCAATTATTTAAAAAATATTACCCACCAATGCATATTAATATATTTACTCTGATCCTTATAAGTTTGTGTGAGGGCAAGCATTTCAAAGGATGAATGTAAGGCTCAGAGGGGTCAAGTAATTTGCCTAAGATGTGCAGATCTCGTTAGTGTCAAGGCAGAAACTAGAAGGCCTTAAATATTCTCAGATGGAAACACAGCAAAAGTCAGCATTGTGCAATGCACTGATGAATCTTTGTATTCCAAGTAAAGTAACATGCTTTAAATTTTTTTTCTCTTTTAAAAATCTTTTCCTTGGGCACCTGCTTTTTGCAAGGTGTCTCCAACAAGAGCGAATATGATGCTCACTCAGGAGGCACAGAGTGAGTGCCAGAAGCCCCAGGAGAATAGCAGCATATACCAGTGTGATGCATACACTCATGGGAAGGGGGATTTGATCAGAGCCATCACCATCAACCTGAATCTATATTTTTTCCATATAGGACATAAACATCCCTATGGAATTAAAATGAGCCATCTTCCATCTACCACACTGCTGCCGCAGACACCAGAGGACTCCATCTCTCCTTCCACCCTCCAGGAGTCCCTCCTTCTGGAGCAGGGGTTCGCAGAGATGCAAGGCCAGTTCATCCTGAAGCCCAGGCACCCAACGCAGAATGAGCAAGGGAGAGGTGAGCCCCTTCCCTTTCTTCAGGTGTCTTCTCTTGGCTCATGTCTCCACTCTTGCCCACAAATTGAGGACACAGAGCTCACTCTCTCTGTGGGGGGTGGGGAGGAACAGTAGAGGCAAGAACCCCCAAACTGCACAGAATCAAGCTTAGAGAAACCCAAAGGTCTTAAGACCCAACTCACTTCGAGGAAGGTTGTGTGCTTGTTTTAATTCTCCTAGGTAGACTGTTAACTCCTTTCTCTGTATCCCCAGAACACTTTCTACATATAATTATGTGAGTATACATCTGTGTGTCTTCTTAGAGCACAAGCTGTTTGTGGCCTGAAAACAGGTCTTCCCTATTCCAGGGTTTTATCTAGTATCTCAGGCCATCACAGGATGGAATCAAATGACTGCATGGCTTAGACGCACCTGGAATGGAAGAACTCCAGTGGAGTAAAGAGTTATGGAACTGAATTGGATTTATTCTGGGCTTAGGCTGAAGTGGCCTTGGGCTTACAGTTAGAATTCAAGTCTCAATTCTGCCCCCACTTTCCATGTCTGCTTCAGACACAGGTCAAGGCTGGAGCTAGACTGAATGTTTATGGTCAGGGCTTTTTCATCTTCCTTCTTGCTATTTTTTTCCCTACCATTCCAGTATTCTCCCATTGATATTTTTTTCTCTGATGAAAATGTGTTATTCATCTGAGAAGTATTGGGCCAAAATAGAAAGTATTTTATTGTTATGATTGTTATTCTATAAGCACAAGGTTTCAAAAATTTTATTTTTTAATATTCATACCCTAATTCAAGCATTAGGAAACATTAACCCAAATCTTGCCAGGACTGTTTAAGAAAGAATAGGTTTCCATGAAGTTAGCTTGTTTAATCATTCCTATATTTTTCATGGCTATAGCATATATTTTTATTAGTAATAGAGGCAACATGACCTCTAACAGCAAATAATGTACATTATAAAACATCCAGCTAAGCCTGAAAATACCTTGGAGAAAGTATAGGACTCAATGTGTACTTATTTTCTGTATATACTCATAGAGTAGCTAGATATATAGCTTTGTACCAAGGGATACAACATTCTTCTTAAGAGCATTCTTCTTATTAAAGCTGAAGAATGGAATATATTTGGGTAGTTTTAGAAATAATAAAACTAGGGGAAGAGTAGGGAACCCAGGTTGCATACAACAACTCAACTTACATATTAACACGTATCTTCAGCAAATGCATACATTTTGATGTACAGGAATCTCCTCCTGGATTTAAGAATGTGTTTGCTTTCTTTCTTCTCTCCTTTTAAAATGGTAGGTGTATCAATTTCAGGGCAGGAAGAAAGAGCCTTAGTTAAGTAAAGTGGTAGCCATCCTTCATGATTGCCTACCTTCTAGAGGTTGCAAAATCAAATAGAGAATGGGAGTGATGTCTGCTTTGGAGGGGGAAGAGACTGATGTCTAGACTGCCTGAGGCCTTCTGAGCAAGGAAATTACTTTTATCAAGGCTGCCATGAGCCATGCCTTGTGCTGAGTAGTACATTACATTTAGTTCAACGAGTTGTAGGCAGCAGCATTTATGTTAAAGTGAAGCAAACCAAACCTTCAGAATCTTTGAGTAATCTAACTAGGTGGCAGAACCAGGATGCTTCTGGTTCTTAGATCCTGGTCTCTCTGGTCAGGTGCCATGAGTGTTGCCACCCACGTGAGTGGATACGGTGATGCACTCACTACATCCCAGAAAAGCCCAGTGGACAGGTGTTTATGGGTGTTTGGTGAAATGTTGCTCATTTGTTTATCCTTCTACAGCTTGGCTCCTCTGTGGACTTTTAAAGAATTCAGTTATTTAAGCAGATTTTGGAAGCAAATGTTAAGGTATCTTCTAAGGAAAACATTCATAGCTGAGCAGTAGAAACTTTCAACTCAGCTTTTCACTGCAGATCACCTTTTCTTTGTAAAGCTCTTCTTCTGCATTCCTTTGATAGAGAATGTTGGGTAATTCAAAATCATCTCTGGAAATTGGGGATAAATCAGGCATTCATAATCTCTCATTGTTTTTCTTTTTGTATGTTTTCTTTCAAGCCTTGTACTGGTATGGTGTATATACATGTATGTTTGAGTATGTGTGAGGAATTGGGTGCAATTCATTGTGGATTAGACTCTTTTCAGTAAATATCAAACATAATTTACAAAAAAAAAAAAGTCATCTCTGGGTAGCTTGGTGGGGTATCACAAAAAAACACAGTCACCTGGAATCTTACCACATAGCCAGCATGTAATGACTATTTCCCAAGAACCCTGACTGCAGGAAGTCATCCTTGGGGATGGCCCAGAGCAGAGACACCAGAGGCTGCCTGAGAAGTGGGGTCAGGCGGATCATGTCATGAAAGGCAGATCCTTTTGATCATAGAAAGATGAGCACTCAGGGGCACCTGGGTGGCTCAGTCGTTAAGCGTCTGCCTTCAGCTCAGGTCATGATCCCAGCGTCCTGGGATCTAGTCCTGCATCGGGCTCCCTGCTCAGTGGGAGTCTGCTTCTCCCTCTCCCAATCCCCACCTGCTTGTGTTCCCTCTCTCGCTGTCTCTCTCTGCCAAATAAATAAATAAAATCTTAAAAAAAAAGTTGAGCACTCAGAAAGCCAAAGAGGAAACTTAAGGCTGGGAGGAGACTCACTGTGAAAGCAGATGATTAACAAACTCAGCTTGATTTGAATATCAGATCTTTTGAGCTTTTAAAATCAGATCTGACACTGGATGAATCCACTAATCATACTTACCAATAGGAAACAACAAGTTAAGTGCCTCATGATAAAGCCCAACGGGCAGTAGATGGGATTGAAAGCATTGACACTAAATCTGATCAAGTCTCTAGGTTTAACCATCAGTTTGCAGGATCTGGGGAAGAACTCTTAACACCGTAAGAATGCTATTGGCCAATTTCAAAACATGGAGAATTCTACACAAAAAATGCCTCAGTTTCCCTCTTCTAGCCATTGCAGTGAATGTACCGTAGAGTGGGAATGGTGAAAATAAGGTTAAGCGGGGTGCCTGGGTGACTCAGTTGTTAAGCGTCTCCCTTGGGCTCAGGTCATGATCCCCGTGTCCTGGGATTGAGCCCTGCATTAGGCTCCATGCTGGGTGGGAAGCCTGCTTCTCCCTCTCCCGCTCCCCCTGCTTGTGTTCCATCTCTCACTGGCTCTCTATCAAAAAATAAATAAAATCTTTAGAAAAAAAAAAGAAAAGAAGGTTAAGCAAATAAAACAACTACTACTACTACTAATTTCACTTCTTCCTTAGATTACGGGCAGAAGACACTTAAAAGCCGTTTTTTCAGAGACTGGGCCTGTTGTCTGGGCTCCAGCACTAGCCAGCACAGCCAGTGCACAACCCCACCTTCTTCAAAGCCAGGACAGCTCTTTGGAGTTTCCCTCATGGATGTGTGTGATAAAGACAACCTGCCGTTGCCAATTCTGGTAGGTCATCTCCTTTTGGTCTTCTATAGCCCTCCTGAGGAGTGGAAACTCTGAGAGGCTACGTGTCCTCATCCAAATCTATCCCCAAATGGAGAAGTCTTTTGACAGCCCCTGACTTTGGCTGAGAAGCTCTGTTAGTGTTATTTCAAAGAATAGAATCTGATTTAGGTCCTGCAGAGTCATGAGGCAAATACAAGAGGAAAAGACATTCTTCTCCATTCCACTTGGGTCTTGTTTCCACAAAGACATGCGGAGGCTTGTTCAGATCAGTCAAAATGGACTCTGTATGTGAGTCTCTGAGAGTCCACCTCATCTTCACACTCTCCCTTCATTGCCTTCCTGCACTCACATGAGTCTCAAGTCTCCTTCAGCGGAGTCTACTCAGTCTAACAATTGTAAACATCTGACATGAGCATAGACTCATCCTCTGGCAAATAGGAATCTGTTAATCCTAACAGAATATGTCAAATGAAAGCCACAGAGTTTGGCCTGTGTTATCTCAAACTGCTGTAGTGAATTGTCAGTGTGGACCTTCACTGAGTATTCGGTGTCTCTGCAAGCACTGTACGGGATGTAGGGAACGTTCTGCTAGCTATGAAGAAATGTATTATACTAGCTAGCATGTTACCTGCTAGCTACTACCCCAGTTCCTTGCATCACAGCAAATTTAGGGGCTAGCTAGGATTATCATCCTCCGCACTGCCTAAACGAATCAGAAAAGCCTCAGTACAGGATGTATGTGCCCCAGCTCTCACAATAGATAAGTAGCATAATAGACTTCAGATCCGTTGGATTCCCTGAGTCCAGCCCTTATTAAATTTCTACACAGCAGGGAGAGGACATGAAGATACAGCAAAAGACAATGAAAGACTCATGAGAAGGGAGGGTAATCAGAGAAGGGGAAGAGAGTTTCTGAGCCTGACTTTAAAAGAGGGAATGATATAGAACAAGTAGGAATGGAGTATACAGTCACTTAAAGAGAAATAAACAAATGGGAAATGAGTATTTCCTAAATAGACTTCCATACTTGGGGAAGAGCATCTACGTAAGGGGATAATGAGAAAAGAATGGTAAAGTAGGAAACAGACGGTGATTGCGCAAAGGCCTTGAAGCAGAGAAATTTGATTTAAGAGTGGAAACTCAATGGAAAGGAAAATCTGATTAAAAGAAGTGTTTAAAATGTTTCAGTGTATGACTGTAAAATGGATATTTGGGTAGAAAGTATATAGAGAGACACTGAAAAAACAGCCATCTAAATTGACTTTAGTCCTTTCTGCACGAAAACAGTATACCATTGCATTCCCCTCCTCTTTCAAAACGGAGGCAAGCTTGAGCTCTGCGTTTGGGGATATGAGATGCGATATAATTTCCTTTTCTTCCTACAGGATATGCTTTCCTTTATTAATCAAAAAGGGCCACTCACAGAATGCATCTTCAGCAAATCACCCAATATAAAATCAACTAGGGTCATAAAGGAGAAACTAAATTCTGGGGTCAAAGTGGACCTGTACAGCGAATCTGTTCATGTGGTCGCATCCGTCTTAAAGGTAGGGAAGGTTCTAGCATTATCCACACATGAGTAACTGACGCTATGATTGGTGTCTTTCATCATGACTGCTCAAGAACCATAATGGGCATAATAGATTAAGAACCTGACAAGCTGGTAAACGCTTGATAAATCAAAATTTAAGGAAGCTACTTTAGGAGTTAAAAGCCCCATATGTTAGAAATACTTTCTGTTTTCACTACACACCGCCTACCCCGCCTTCACTCCTGAAGTCGCCATGCAAAATACTAATACTGAAATGACTTCTAGTCATGATAATAAATTTCAAAATACACACCAATACATACACACTGTTTACTCATGCAAACATCCTCCCCACCCTCCTAGTGAAGGCAAACTTTCCAAAAGAAATAGAACAGGGAAAGAATTTAATCCATCCACCTTGGCACTTGTGAACAGCTCTGAACAACCCTATGTTAACGTAGTAATGACTACAGTCTTAGAATCTCAGTCACATTTGGTCTTCCCTTGTTCCCCGTTAATGTTCGAAGATGTGCTAAATAGCAAAGTCCAGAAATGACTTCGGTAACCACTCCTACACTGGGGCCATAGTGATATCCAGTAGTAATATACATATAGGCATCAGGAGACAGGAGAAGAATGCTGATACATTAGGTAGCAAGATGAGTGTTGCCCTCTGTAAGGTGCGCACATGGAATCCATTTTCTAGCAAGAGTTAGGAGGTTCTTTCCCGATTCCGTGTTATAAGCACCGACTAGGGAGAGGGTGAGCACTTGTGGGTATAGTGCTTAGACATTTCTAAAGTTTTCTCTTCCTGAAGTTGACGGATCTTGGTGGAGAAACAGACTCTGCAACCTTGGACTTGATAATATTGTCAAACTAACTGGGAATTGACCTAATCTAGAAATGAATCTATCCTCAGGACCTCAGTGAGTCTACCATTAGACTCTCGACTTTTAGACAGTTAAGAAAAGGAAAAATGAAGCAATTGTGAGAGTAGCTTTCTTCCAAGGAGCACACCTACCCCGAGTGAGAAGACCTAGTTCTTTCCTAATATGTGTGCAAAAGCCCACCTGTTTGTGTTTTGATTGTTTCAGGCCTTTTCTTGCTAGAGTTAAGAGCTAGCACTGTGTCTAAAACAAGCAACATGGGTAAGCGTATTTCTGTCCAAGAAGCTAATAGGATTTAGGATGGTCTATAGCCAGACGCTGTCAGTTTGTGGTACTTTGCAAAAAAAGCACACAAAGAAAATAAGTTCCAGATGATAGAAGGGAGCTTTATCTCCATTTCTACCACAGCCTAAGCTCTGCTTTTATGCCTCTAAGATTTAGGGGGAGAAAATCCAAGCACCTGCTGCTGCGTGTGAAAGTCAATAGAGAGTCAGAGCCGAGCTCCATGTGGGTCACAGTTTGGGTATCTGTGAAGGAAGTGGGGGCTGAACTGAATTTTTTAACTACATATTTTCTCTCTAATATTTCCAATACATATTTTCTATAATATATATACATATTTATTTTTATCTCCATAAGGATTTCCTAAGAAATATCCCAGGAAGTATATTTTTGTTCAATCTCTATGACAAATGGCTCGGTGTTATTGATCAAGGGAACGAAGAGGAGAAGATGACTGCAGCGCGGAGGTAATGATGCAATAATTACTCTACTGTGGTCACATCTCCAAAATACAGCGAACATAGTATTAGCAAAATATTGGCTTACGTTTTGCAGCTTTGCCCACTAAAATCATGACCAATGTCAAAGAGTTTCAATTCTTCACAGCCATGGGGGTCAGCTTCAGAATAGAGGTACGCCTTAGGGCTATTATTGTTCTTCCTCTGATCTTATTAATGTGGACTCCTTGGCCATTTGACACCTTCTGGATCCATGAAACTTGTAGACGAAATTCCCTGGTTGAAGACACATGAAAGAGCATCAACTGCCAGGGCTATGACCTTAAAAGTCTGTCAAACATTTAACTAACCAGAGAAGTTTTTATCTGGCTCAGGAACTGAATTCAGTGCACCAATTTTGTCTACATTCATGCCTGGAACTCTGCTACAGCGGGTTGTGTGCTAGATATACAAGGTTGTATCCTTTTCCCTGTCTCTGTTTTTCCAATCTCCTAAGTGGAATCACTTGCCTAATTTAAAAGTGTGTTTTCTGACCTTAGGCTTTTAGCCCAGCTGCCAAGAGCAAATGTTGTTCTCTTGCGATACCTTTTTGGAGTGCTATACAACATCGAGCAACATTCCTCATCCAATCAGATGACAGCTTATAATTTATCCGTTTGTATAGCCCCAAGCGTTCTTTACCCACCTGATTCCGACAGCTTGGAATTGGAAGACAACTTGATAAAAAAGGTAATGAGAGCTCTCATTTTTGTCCCCCAGGGGGTAGAATCCCTACTTTGACCCGGACATGTGCAGTAGTAACTCTGACAAAAGGAACTTTGTGAAGTGCACATTTTCATTAGGCCCCTGTGGAGTGGCAGAGTTCTTTATCCTACTCTGGTGGGGTCTGGGAAGGGGTGTTGTTAAACGGAAAACTCAGAGCGGTCGAGTCACTTCTTCCCGCTCCAGGAGACTAAACCTAGACTGACTAAACGAGAGAGAAAAGAGTCGTGTGATACGATAGAAAAGAACCTGGGCTTTGGAGCTTCACTAGTCAAGGTTCAACTCTCAGCCTAATCCCTGAGGGACTCGTAACCTTGGGCAAAGCCATGGTTTCCTCACTACACAATGGCGACAACAGCCAGCTCCTCCGGTCATCACTGGCACATCCTAGGTGGCTTGGGCAATATGAGCCCGCATGGCTCCAAAGACATTGGCCTTCCTCTGCCAATTGTGGCTCTTCTAGAAAAGTACTCGGCTACTATTTCACCTCTGCTATGTCAACAGAAACTAGCAAGAGATTCCAGAACATCCTAATAAGATGACAGGTCTTCCCCAAGCTCACCCAGAGAGAGCCTGTATGAGGCAAAGCCATGAGTGTGAAGGGACTGAAGTTAGACAGACAGATACGTTTTCTCTCCAGTTGTGTGGGTTTTCCCTCACAACCCCACAAAAATCTGTACTTCCCAACTTTAAGATACTTCTTCATTTAAGAAATGGTTTTCTTAAGTTTTTGTTCATACTTTATAAAGTTTCATAAGATGGTATACATCAGTTACAGCTCAATAAAACTGGAAAAAAAATTTAAAAACAAAAAATAAGTAAACTTTAATAAGGTAGGCTACTTTGAAAATTATCCTAGTTTTATTTATTTTTTGATATGTATTTATTTGAGGGAAAGAGAGAGCGTGAGCGGGGCTGGGGCAGAAGAAGAGGGAGAGGGAGAGGGAGAAGCCCAAGCTGATTCCCCGCTGAGCACAGAGCCCAAAGTTGGCTCCATGTGGGGCTGGATCTCACCATCATGAGATAGTGATCTGAGCCAAAATCAAGAGTCAGATGCTCAACAGAGGGGCCCCAAAAATTATCCTAGGCTTAATGATGTAACCACTGATACCAAAATGTTACCTATTAAACTAGGCCACATATTAAAACTTTAGCCTACTGATTAGCAGTATTTTAAAATGTGTACCCAAAGTACACGGAAAAGTATCACTCTTCCTAAGTTATTTCTTAGAGAATTCTGGTCTCTGTTTTTTATTTTATTATTTTTTTTAAGATTATATTTATTTTCTTGACAGAGGCAGACACAGCGAGAGAGGGAACACAAGCAGGGGGAGTGAGAGAGGGAGAATCAGGCTTCCCGCTGAGCAGGGAGCCCGATGTAGGGCTGATCGCAGCACCCTGGGATCATGAGCTGGGCTGAATGCAGACGCCTGACCGATTGAGCCACCCAGGCGCTCCTGGTCTCTATGTATTTTTGTCAATTGTGAATTTTTCTGGGAAATCTTTCACATTCTTTCTTAGATCCAAGGTCTATAGACATAATGTGATTTATAACTATGCCCTATGGAAAAGAGCACCCCATTTTTGTCTTTTTGTGTTACAGATTTCTCTTGTACAATTTCTCATTGAAAATTGCCTTAAAATATTTGGAGAAGACATCACTTCCCTCTTGGGAGAGAACTCAATGAGTCGTGGTAACAGCGAGCAGGCTGCAGGTACCGGGAATAATTTATTTGGCTTTAGTGAGAAGCAGACAGCAAGGCTGCCAGGGGTCATGGGAGATGCTTAGACAGAGCTGTTCTGGAGCCCAGAGCATCGCCAGGGCAAGGATTTCCATGTGCTCCTTCTCCCGAAGGCTGGCTCACAGGTCAAGGGAGGTTCCACACTGTTGTGAGACCAAAGAAAGGATAAGATGAGGTCTCTGACTTCAAGAAGGTTTCTAGTGTAGATCATAACGGAATTAGGACTCATCATGGTATGCCACAGTGTTTGGGAACTTTTTCTCACAAAATTTAAATGGGTGCTATATATATATCTATGTAGTTATATATATTACATAATTATATACTGATACTATATAAATATATAAACATAATGTATATATTTATGTATATTACATGTGCGCTGGTTGAAGCCAGAGAAAGGGGCTTTTCTTCCCCTCCCTCCTCTTTTGGCTCAGGGTCTCTTGAGGCACCACAGGATTCCAGTGCCCTTTGAAGCGGGTTGAAAAGAATTGGCATCTTTGAGAAAAAAGGACTTGACTTGATGTCAAACAACCTCTCCAGAGTGTAAATTCCTGTACCCCCACTTACCAGCTATATTATCTTTGGCCAGTTATACCAGCTCAGCATCAGTTTATTCATCTCTAAAATGTGGATAAAAATAATGTCTAAATTTTAGAATTGTTGTGTAGAATAAATAAGATGATGGATGTAATCCAAAAAAAGCCATTAATAGCACTAGGAGAAGTGCCCCTGAGTCTAGATGTAGTATGATTTGAGCCTAGCTAATCAGACCTAACTGGCAGCAGTCCACCTTAGAAGGTAGACTTTCGATTCAGAACCTGGAGACACGTATCATCAATCCCTCCATATTTTTGACATTTCTTCTTTTCATGACACGTACCACATGCTTTGAGGAAAGTTTTAGGAAAATACAAGTCATCAGGAATTAAGATGAGTCTGGGGCACCTGGGTGGCTCAGTCGTTAAACATCTGCCTTCAGCTCAGGTCATGATCCTGGGGTCCTGGTACCGAGCCCCGCATCAGGCTCCCTGCTCCAAGGGAAGCCTGCTTCTCCCTCTCCCCCTCCCCTTACTTGTGTTCCCTCTCTTGCTGTCTCTCTCTCTCTGTCAAAAAATAAATAAAATCTGTAAAAAAAAAAAAAAAGGAAAAAGAAGGTTCAACATATTAAACAACAACTACTACTACGAGTACTCTCACTTCTTCCTTAGACTCCAGCCTGAAGACTGTGAAAACCCGTTCTTTCAGAGACAGGGTGTTTTGTCGGGGTTCCAGCACTTCCCAGCACAACCAGTGCACAGCCCCACCTTCCGCAAAGCCAGGACAGCTCTTTGGAGTTTCCCTCATGGATGTGTGTGATAAAGACAACTTGTCCTTCCCAATTCTGGTAGGTCAACTCCTTTTGGTCTTCTAGAGCCCTCCTGAGAAGGGGAAACTCTGAGAGGCCAAGCGTCCTCATCCAAATCTATCCCAAAAATGAAGAAGTCATTAGACAGCCCCTGGCTTTGGCTGAGAAGCTCTATAACTGTTATTTCAAAGAATAGAATCTGATTTAGGTCCTGCAGAGTCATGAGGCAAATGCAACAGGAAAAGACATTCTTCTCCATTCCACTTGGGTCTTGTTTCCACAAAGACATGCGGAGGCTTGTTCAGATCAGTCAAAATGGACTCTGTGTATGTGAGTCTCGGAGACTCCACCTCATCTTCACACTCTCCCTTCATTGCCTTGCTGAACTCACATGAGTCTCAAGTCTCCTTCAGCGGAGTCTACTCAGTCTAACAACTGCAGACATCTGACACGAGCATAGACTCATCCTCTGGCAAATAGGAATGTGTTAATCCTAGGAGAATATGTCAAACGAAAGCCACAGAGTTTGGCCTGTGTTATCTCAAACTGCTGTAGTGAATTGTCAGTGTGGACCTTCACTGAGTATTCGGTGTCTCTGCATGCACTGTACGGGATGTAGGGAACGTTCTGCTAGCTATGAAGAAATGCATCATCTTAGCTAGCATGTTACCTGCTAGCTACTTACCCCAGTTCCTTGCATCACAGCAAATTTAGGGGCTAGCTAGGATTATCATCCTCCGCACTGCCTAAACGAATCAGAAAAGCCTCAGTACAGGATGTATGTGCCCCAACGCACACAATAGTTAAGTAGCATAATAGACTTCAGATCCGTTGGATTCCCTGAGTCCAGCCCTTATTAAATTTCTACACAGCAGGGAGAGGACATGAAGATACAGCAAAAGACAATGAAAGACTCATGAGAAGGGAGGGTAATCAGAGAAGGAGAAGAGAGTTCCTGAGCCTGACTTTAAAAGAGGGAAGGAAATAGAACAAGTAGGAATGGAGTATACAGTCACTTAAAGAGAAATAAACAAATGGGAAATGAGTATTTCCTAACTAGACTTCCATACTTGCGGAAGAGCATGTATGTAAGGGACAAATGTGAAAAGAATGGGAAAGTAGGAAACAGACGGTTATTCCGCAAAGGCCTTGAGGCAGAGAAGTTTGATTTAAAAGTGTAAACTTAGTGGAAAATCTGATTAAAAGAAGTGTTTAAAATGTTTCAGTGTATGACTGTAAAATGGATATATGGGTAGAAAGTATATATAGAGAGACACTGAAAAAACAGCAATCTAAATTGACTTTAGTCCTTCCCGCTCTAAAACATTGTACCATTACATTCCCCTTTTCTTTCAAAACGGAGGCAAGATTGTGCTCTGCGTTTGTGGATATGAGATGCCATATACTTTTCTTTTCTTCCTACAGGGTATGCTTTCCTTTATTAATCAGAAAGGGCCACTCACAGAAGGCGTCTTCAGAAACTCAGCCAATATAAAATCCCGCAGAGTCCTAACGGAGAAACAAAATTCTGGGGTCAAAGTGAACCCGTACAGGGAATCTATTCATGTGTTCGCATCCGTCTTAAAGGTAGGGAAGGTTCTAGCATTATCCACACGTGAGTAACTGAAGCGATGATTGGTGTCCTTCATCATGACTGCTCAAGAACCATAACGGGCATAGTAGATTAATAACGTGACAAGCTGAAAAACGCTTGACAAAATCAAAATTTAAGGAAGCAACTTTAGGAGTTAAAAGCCCCATGTGTTACAAATACTTTCTGTTTTCACCACACACAGCCATCCGCACCTTCACTCCTGAAGACTCCATGCAAAATGCTAATACTGAAATGACTACAGTCATGATAATAAATTTCAAAATACGCACTGACACAAACACACTGTTTACCAAAGCAGACATCCTGACCACCCTCCTAATGAAGGCAAACTTTCCAAAAGAAATAGAACAGGGAAAGAATTTAATCCATGCACCTTTGCACTTATGAACAGCTTTGAACAACCCTATGTTAATGTAGTACTGACTACAGTCTTAGAATCTCAATCACATTTGGTCTTCCCTTGTCCCCCATTAATGTTCGAAGATGTGATAAATAGCAAAGTCCAGAAATGACTTCGGTAACCACTCCTACACTGGGGCCATAGTGATATCCAGTAGTAATATACATATAGGCATCAGGAGACAGGAGAGGAATGAGAATACACTAGGTAGCAAGATGAGTGTTGCGCTCTGTAAGGTGCACACATGGAATCTATTTTCTAGCAAGAGTTGGTAGGTTCTTTCCTGTTTCTGTGTTATAAGCACTGACTAGGAGGAGCGTGAGCACTTGTGGGTATAGTGCTTAGACATTTCTAAAGTTTTCTCTTCCTGAAGTTGACAGATCTTGGTGGAGAATCAGACTCTGCAACCTTGGCCTTGATAATATCATGGCAAACTAACTGGACAATTGTCCTAAACTAGAAATGAATCTATCCTCAGGACCACAGTGAGTCTGCCATTAGACTCTCGACTTTTAGACAGTTAAGAAAAGGAAGAATGAAGCAATTGTGAGAGTAGCTTTCTTCCAGGGAACACACATACCCCGAATGAGAAGACCTACCTCTTGCCTAATGTGTGTGCAAGAGCCCACCTGTTTGTGTTTTGATTGTTTCAGGGCTTTTCTTGCTAGAATTAAGAGCTAGCACTGTGTCTAAACCAAGCAACATGGGTATGTGTATTTCTGGCCAAGAAGCTAATAGGATTTAGGATGGTCTATAGCCAGACCCTGTCAGTTTGTGGTACTTTGCAAAAAAAGCACACACAAAAAATAAGTTCCAGATGATAGAAGGGAGCTTTATCTTCATTTCCACCACAGGCTAAGCTCTGCTTTTATGCCTCTAAGTTTTAGTGGGAGAAAATCCAAGCATCTGCTGCTGCATGTGCAAGTCAATGGAGAGTCAGAGCCGAGCACCGTGTGGGTCACAATTTGGATATCTGTGAAGGAAGTGGGGGCTGAACTGAATTTTTTAACTACATATTTTCTCTGGAATATTTCCAATACATATTTTCTATAATATATATACATAGTTTTTTTTATCTCCCTAAGGATTTTCTTAGAAATATCCATGGAAGTATATTTTTATCTGATCTCTATGACAAATGGCTCGGTGTTATTGATCAAGGCAACGAAGAGGAGAAGATAACTGCAGCCCAGAGGTAATGATGCAATAATTACTCTACTCTGGTCACATCTCCAAAATACAGCCAACATACTATCAGGAAAACATTGACTTACGTTTTGCAGCTTTGCCCACTATAATCATGACCAATGCCAAAGAGTTTCAATTCTTCACACCCATGGGGGCCAGGTTCATAATAGAGGCACACTTTAGGGCTTTTATCATTCTTCTTCTGATCTTATTAATTTGGAATCCTTGGCCGTTTTACATCTTATGGGTACATGAAACTGTTAGAGGAAATCCCCTGGTCCAAGACAGATGCAAGAACATCAGTTGCCAGGGCTATGACCTTAAAGGTCTGTCAAACATTTAACTAACCAGAGAAGTTTTTATCTGGCTCATGAACTGAATTCAGTGCAACAATTTTGCATACATTCATGCCTGGAACTCTGCTACACCGGGTTGTGTGCTAGATATACAAGGATGTATCCTGTTCCCTGTCTCTGTTTTTCCAACCTCCTAAGTGGAATCACTTGCCTAATTTAAATGAGTATTTTTCTAACCTTAGGCTTTTACCCCAGCTGCCAAGAGGAAATGTTGTTCTCTTGCGATACCTTTTTGGAGTGTTATACAACATTGAGCAACCTCCCTCATCCACTCAGATGACAGCTTATAATTTATCAGTGTTTATAACCCTAAGCGTTCTTTACGCACCTGATTCTGGCACCTTAGAATTGGAAGACAACTTGATAAAACAGGTAATGAGAGCTCTCATTTTTGTCCCCCAGGGGGTAGAATCCCTACTTTGAACCGGACATGTGCAGTAGTAACTCTGACGGATGGAACTTTGTGAAGTGCACATTTTCATTACGCCCCTGTGGAGTGGCAGAGTTCTTTATCCTACTCTGGTGGGGTCTGGGAAGGGGTGTCGTTAAACGGGAAACTCGGAGCAGTCGAGTCACTTCTTCCCCCTCCAGGAGACTAAACACTAGACTGACTAAACGAGAGAGAGAAGAGTCGTGTGATACGATAGAAAGGAACGTGGGCTTTGGAGCTTCACTAGTCAAGGTTCAACTCTCAGCCTAATCCCTGAGGGACTCGTAACCTTGGGCAAAGCCATGGTTTCCTCACTACACAATGGCGACAACAGCCAGCTCCTCTGGTCATGACAGGCATATCCTGGGTGGCTTGGGCAATATGAGCCCCCATGGCTCCAAACACATTGGCCTTCCTCTGCCAATAGTGGCTCTCTAGAAAAGTACTTGGCTACTATTTCACCTCTGCTACATCTTATGGAAACTAGCAAAAGATTCCACACCATCCTAAGAAGATGACAGGTCTTCCCCAAGCTCACACAGAGAGAGCCAGCATGAGGCAAACCAATGTGTGAGAAGGGACTGAAGTTAGACAGACAGATACATTTTCTCTCCAGCTGTGTGGGTTTTCCCTCACAACCCCACCAAAATCTCTGCTTCTCAACTTTAAGATACTTCTTCATTTAAGAAATGGTTTTCTTAAGTTTTTGTTCATACTTTATAAAGTTTCATAAGATGTTATACATCAGTTACAGCTCAATAAAACTGGAAACAAAATTTAAAAACAAAAAACAGGTAAACTTTAATAAGGTAGGCTACTTTGAATATTATCCTAGTTTTATTTATTTTTGGATATGTATTTCTTTGAGAGAGGGAAAGAGAGCGTGAGTGGGGCAGGGGCAGAAGAAGAGGGAGAGGGAGAAGACCAAGCCGATTCCCTGCTGAGCCCAGAGCCGAAAGTTGGCTCCATGTGGGGCTGGATCTCACCACCATGAGATTGTGATCTGCGCCGAAATCAAGAGTCCGACGCTCAACTGAGGGGCCCCGAAATTTATCCTAGGCTTAAAGATGTAACCACTGATCCCAAAATGTTAGCTATGAAACTAGGCCACGCATTATAACTTTAGCCCACGGATGAGCAGTATTTCAAAATGTGTACCCAAAGTACACGGGAAAGCATCAGTCATTCTAAGTTATTTCCTAGAGAACTCTGGTCTCTATGTTTTTGGTTTTTTTTTTTTAAGATTTGATTTATTTACTTGACAGAGAGGGAACACAAGGAGGGAGAGTGGGAGAGGAAGAAGCAGGCTTCCCGCTGAGCAGGGAGCCAGATATAGGGTTGATCCCAGCACCCTGGGATCTTGACCTGAGCCGAAGGGAGATGCGTAACTGACTGAGCCACCCAGGTGCCCCTGGTTTCTACGTATTTTTATCAACTCTGAATTTTTCTGACAAGTCCTTCCCGTTTTTCCTTAGATCCAAGGTCTATATACAAAATGTGTTTAAAACTATGGCCTATGGAAAAGAACACCTCATTTTTGTCTTTTTGTGTTACAGATTTCTCTTGTACAATTTCTCCTTGAAAATTGCCTCAGGATATTTGGAGAAGACATCACTTCCCTCTTGGGAGAGAACTCAATGAGTCGTGGTAACAGCGAGAAGGCTGCAGGTACCGGGAGTAATTTAATTGGCTTTAGTGAGAAGCAGACAGCAAGGCTGCCAAGGGTCATGGGAGATGCATAGACAGTGCTGTTCTGGAGCCCAGCGCATCGCCAGGGCAATGATTTCCATGTGCTCCTTCTTCCAAAGGCTGGCTCAACAGGTCAAGGGAGGTTCCACACTGTTGTGAGACCAAAGAAAGGATAAGATGAGGTCTCTGACTTCAACAAGTTTCTAGTGTAGATCATAAAGGCATTAGGACTCATCATGGTATGCTACAGTGTTTGGGATTTTTTTCTAACAAAATTCTAAAAGGGTGCTATACATATACATACATATATATTTATATATATATGTATATATGTAATAATGAATCAGAAAAGGCTCAGTACAGGATGTATGTATATGTATGTATATATTTGTATATATATGTATATATATATGTAAAACACATCATACATGTGTATGTAGTTATATATAATATATAATTATATACTTATAGTATATAAATATATTATCATAATATATATATTTATGTATATTAGAAGTACTCTGGTTGAAGCCAGAGAAGGGGCCTTTCTTCCCCTCCGTCCTCTTTTGGCTCAGGGGCTCTTGAGGCACCACAGGATTCCAGTGCCCTTTGAAATGGGTTGAAAAGAACTGTCATCATTGAGAAAAAAGGACTTGACTTGATGTCAAACTACCTCTCCAGAGTGTAAATTCCTGTGCCCGCATTTACCAGCTATATTATCTTTGGCCAGTTATACCAGCTCAGCATCAGTTAATTCATCTCTAAATATGGATAAAAATAATGTCTAAATCTTAGAATTGTTGTGTAGAATAAATAAGATGATGGATGTAATCCCAAAAAAGCCATTAATAAGACTAGGAGAAGTGCCCCTGAGACTAGAGCTAGTATGTTTTGAGCCTAGCTAATAACAGCTGTCAGCAGTCCACCTTGGAAGGTAGACTTTCGATTCAGAACCTGGAGACACGTATCATCAATCCCTCCATATTTCTGACATTTCTTGGTTTTATGATGCTTACCACATTGCTTTGAGGAAATCTTTAGGAAAATACAAGTCATCAGGAATTAAGATGAGTCTGGGGCACCTGGGTGGCTCAGTCGTTAAGCAACTGCCTTCAGCTCAGGTCATGATCCCGGGGTCCTGGGATCGAGCCCCGCATCGGGCTCCCTGCTCTGAGGGAAGCCTGCTTCTCCCTCTCCCCGTCCCCCTGCTTCTGTTCCCTCTCTCGCTGTCTCTCTCCCTCTGTCAAAATATAAATAAAATCTGTAAAAAAAAAAAAAAAAAAAGGAAGAAGTTTCAGCGTATTAAAAAACTACTACTACTAGTACTCTCTCTTCTTCCTTAGACTCCGGCAAGAAAACTGTGACAAGCCGTTCTTTCAGAGACAGGGCCTTTTGGTGGGGCTCCAGCACTTGCCAGCAGAACCAGTGCACAACCCCACATTCTGCAAAGCCAGGACAGCTCTTTGGAGTTTCCCTCATGGTTGTGTGTTATAAAGACAACCTGGCCTTCCCAATTCTGGTAGGTCATCTCATTTTGGTCTTCTATAGCTCTTCTGAGGTGGGGAAACTCTGAGAGGCCACGTGTCCTCATCCAAATCTATCCCCAAATGGAGAAGTCATGAAACAGCCCCTGGCTTTGGCTCAGAAGCTCTATTACTGTTATTTCAAGGAACAGAATCTGACTTAGGTCCTGCAGAGTCATGAGGCAAATACAACAGGAAAAGACATTCTTCTCCATTCCACGTGGGTCTTGTTTCCACAAAGACATGCGGAGGCTTGTTCAGATCAGTCAAAATGGACTCTGTGTATGTGAGTCTCTGAGAGTCCACCTCATCTTCACACTCTCCCTTCATTGCCTTCCTGCACTCACATGAGTCTCAAGTCTCCTTCAGCGGAGTCTACTCAGTCTAACAACTGCAAACATCTGACACGAGCATAGACTCATCCTCTGGCAAATAGGAATCTGTTTATGCTAACAGAATATGTCCAATGAAAGCCACAGAGTTTGGCCTGTGTTATCTCAAACTGCTGTAATGAATTGTCAGTGTGGACATTCACTGAGTATTTGGTGTCTCTGCAAGCACTGTAGGTATGTAGGGAACGTTTTGCTAGCTATGAAGAAATGTATCATATTAGCTACTTTGTTACCTGCTAGCTACTACCCCAGTTCCTTGCATCACAGCAAATTTAGGGGCTAGCTAGGATTATCATCCTCCGCACTGCCTAACCGAATCAGAAAAGCCTCAGTACAGGATGTATGTGCCCCAGCTCACACAATAGATAAGTAGCATAATAGATTTCAGATCCGTTGGATTCCCTGAGTCCAGCCCTTATTAAGATTCTACACAGCAGGGAGAGGACACGAAGATAGAGCAAAAGACAATGAAAGACTCATGAGAAGGCAGGGTAATCAGAGAAGGACAAGAGAATTTTTTAGCCTGACTTTAAAAGAGGGAACGAAATAGAACAAGTACGAATGGAGTATACAGTCACTTAAAGAGAAATAAAAAAAGGGAAAAGAGTATGTCCTAAATAGACTTCCATACTTGCGGAAGAGCATCTACGTAAGGGAATAATGAGAAAAGAATGGTAAAGTAGGAAACAGACGGTGATTCCGCAAAGGCCTTGAAGCAGAGAAGTTTGATTTAAAAGTGGAAACTCAATGGAAAGGAAAATCTGATTAAAAGAAGTGTTTAAAATGTTTCAATGTATGACTGTAAAATGGATATATGGGTAGAAAGTATATAGAGAGACACTGGAAAAACAACAATCTAAATTGACTTTAGTCCTTCCCACTCTAAAACAGTGTACCATTACATTCCCCTCCTCTTTCAAAACGGGCAAGCTTGTGCTCTGCGTTTGTGGATATGAGATCCCAAATACTTTTCTTTTCTTCCTACAGGGTATGCTTTCCTTTATTAATCAAAAAGAGCCACTCACAGACGGCGTCTTCAGAAACTCAGCCAATATAAAATCCTGCCATGTCCTAAAGGAGAAACTAAATTCTGGGGTCAAAGTGAACCCGTACAGCGAATCTGTTCATGTGGTTGCATCCGTCTTAAAGGTACGGAAGGTTCTAGCATTATCCACACGTGAGTAACTGAAGCGATGATTGGTGTCCTTCATCATGACTGCTCAAGAACCATAAAAGGCATAATAGATTAAGAACCTGACAAGCTGTAAAATGCTTGACAAAATCAAAATTTAAGGAAGCTACTTTAGGAGTTAAAAGCCCCATGTGTTAGAAATACTTTCTGTTTTCACTACGCACCGCCCTCCCCACCTTCACTCCTGAAGAGTCCATGCAAAATACTAATACTGAAATGACTTCTAGTCATGATAATAAATTTCAAAATACGCACCGATACATACACACAGTTTACCCATGAAAACATCCTCACCACCCTCCTAATGAAGGCAAACTTTCCAAAAGAAATAGAACAGGGAAAGAATTTAATCCATGAACCTTGGCACTTATGAACAGCTCTGAAAAACCCTATGTTAACGTAGTAATGACTACAGTCATAGAATCTCAGTCACATTTGGTCTTCCCTTGTACCCCATTAATGTTCGAAGATGTGATCAATAGCAAGGTCCAGAAATGACTTAGGTAAGTAACCACTCCTACACTGGGGCCATAGTGATATCCAGTAGTAATATACATATAGGCATCAGGAGACAGGAGAAGAATGATGATACACTAGGTAGCAAGATGAGTGTTGCCCTCTGTAAGGTGCACACATGGAATCGATTTTCTAGCAAGAGTTAGGAGGTTCTTTCCTGATTCCGTGTTATAAGCACCGACTAGGAAGAGGGTGAGCACTTGGGGGAGAGTGCTTAGACATTTCTAAAGTTTTCTCTTCCTGAAGTTGACGGATCTTGGTGGAGAATCAGACTCTGCAACCTTGGCCTTGATAATATCATGGCAAACTAACTGGACAATTGGCCTAAACTAGAAATGGATCTATCCTCAGGACCACAGTGAGTCTGCCATTAGACTCTCGACTTTTAGACAGTTAAGAAAAGGAAGAATGAAGCCATTGTGAGAGTAGCTTTCTTCCAGGGAGCACACCTACCCCGAGTGAGAAGACCTAGTTCTTTCCTAATATGTGTGCAAGAGCCCACCTGTTTGTGTTTTGATTGCTTCAGGCCTTTTCTTGCTAGAATGAAGAGCTAGCACTGTGTCTAAAACAAGCAACATGGGTATGTGTATTTCTGTCCAGGAAGCTAATCGAATTTAGGATGGTCTATAGCCAGACCCTGTCAGTTTGTGGTTCTTTGCAAAAAAAAAACCACACACAAAAACTAAGTTCCAGATGATAGAAGGGAGCTTTATCTTCGTTTCCACCACAGCCTACGCTCTGCTTTTATGCCTCTAACTTTTAGCGGGAGAAAATCCAAGCACCTGCTCCTGCGTGTGCAAGTCAATTGAAAGTCAGAGCCGAGCTGTGTGTGGGTCCCAGTTTGGGTATCTGTGAAGGAAGTGGGGGCTGAACTGAATTTTTTAACTACATATTTTCTCTGGAATATTTCCAATACATATTTTCTATAGTATATATATATATATTTTTTTTTTTTTTTCTTTTATATCCCTAAGGATTTTCGTAGAAATATCCAAGGAAGTATATTTTTATCTGACCTCTATGACAAATGGCTCGGTGTTATTGATCAAGGCAACAAAGAGGAGAATATAACTGCAGCCCAGAGGTAATGATGCAATAATTACTCTACTCTGGTCACATCTCCAAAATAAAGCCAACATACCATTAGGAAAACATTGGCTTACGTTTTGCAGCTTTGCCCACTATAATCATGACCAACGCCAAAGAATTTCAATTCTTCACACCCATGTGGCCCAGCTTAAGAATAGAGGCACGCTTTAGGGCTATTATTGTTCTTCTCCTGATCTTATTGTGGACTCCTTGGCCGTTTGACACCTCTGGATCCATGCAACTTGTAGACGAAATTCCCTGGTTCAAGACACATGCAAGAGCATCAACTGCCAGGGCTATGACCTTAAAAGTCTGACAAACGTTTAACTAACCAGAGAAGTGTTTTTCTGGCTCAGGAACTGAATTCAGTGCAAGAATTTTGTCTACATTCATGCCTCGAACTCTGCTAGAGCGGGTTGTGTGCTAGATATACAAGGATGTATCCTTTTCCCTGTCTGTTTTTCCAACCTCCTAAGTGGAATCACTTGCCTAATTTAAAAGTGTGTTTTTCTGACCATAGGCTTTTAGCCCAGCTGCCAAGAGCAAATGTTGTTCTCTCGCGATACCTTTTTGGAGTGCTATACAACATTGAGCAACATTCCTCATCCAATCAGATGACAGCTTATAATGTAACCGTTTGTACAGCCCCAAGCGTTCTTTACCCACCTGATTCCGGCAGCTTGGAATTGGAAGACAACTTGATAAAAAAGGTGATGAGAGCTCTCATTTTTGTTCCCCAGGGGGTAGAATCCCTACTTTGAACCGGACATGTGCAGTAGTAACTCTGACGGATGGAACTTTGTGAAGTGCACATTTTCATTAGGGCCCTATGGAGTGGCAGAGTTCTTTATCCTACTCTGGCGGAGTCAGGGAAGGGGTGTCGTTAAATGGGAAACTCGGAGCAGTCGAGTCACTTCTTCCCCCTCCAGGAGACTAAACACTAGACTGACTAAACGAGAGAGAGAGGAGTCGTGTGATACGATAGAAAAGAACCTGGGCGTTGGAGCTTCACTAGTCAAGGTTCAACTCTCAGCCTAATCCCTGAGGGACTCGTAACCTTGGGCAAAGCCATGGTTTCCTCACTACACAATGGCGACAACAGCCAGCTCCTCTGGTCATCACTGGCACATCCTGGGTGGCTTGGGCAATATGAGCCCCCATGGCTCCAAACACATTGGCCGTCCTCTGCCAATTGTGGCTCATCTAGAAAAGTACTCGGCTACTATTTCACCTCTGCTACGTCGTATGGAAAGTAGCAAGAGATTCCAGAATATCCTAATAAGATGACAGGTCTTCCCCAAGCTCACCCAGAGAGAGCCAGTATGAGGCAAAGCAATGCGTGGGAAGGGACTGAAGATAGACAGACAGATACGTTTTCTCTCCAGCTGTGTGGGTTTTCCCTCACAACCCCACCAAAATCCCTGCTTCCCAACTTTAAGATACTTCTTCATTTAGAAATGGTTTTCTTAAGTTTTTGTTCATACTTTTAAAGTTTCATAAGATGGTATACATCAGTTACAGCTCAATAAAACTGGACACAAAATTTAAAAGCAAAAAATAAGTAAACTTTAATAAGGTAGGTTACTTTGAAAATTATCTTTGTTTTATTTATTTTTTGATATGTATTTATTTGAGAGAGGGAAAGATAGAGCGTGAGCATTGCAGGGGCAGAAGAAGAGGGAGAGGGAGAGGGAGAAGCCCAAGCCGATTCCCCGCTGAGCACGGAGCCCAAAGTTGGCTCCATGTGGGGCTGGATCTCACCACCATGAGGTCGTGATCTGCGCCGAAATCAAGAGTCAGACGGCCAACTGAGGGGCCCCGAAATTTACCCTAGGCTTAAAGACGTAACCACTGATCCTAAAATGTTAGCTCTTAAACGAGGACACTCAGTATAACTTTAGCCCACGGATGAGCAGTATTTTAAAATGTGTACCCAAAGTACACGGGAAAGTATCACTCTTCCTAAGTTATTTCTGAGAGAACTCTGGTTTCTCTGTGTTTTTTTTTTTTTTTTAAACTTGTATTTATTTACGTGACTGAGAGAGACACAGCGAGAGAGGGAACACAAGCCGTGTGAGTGGGAGAGGGAGAAGCAGGCTTCCCGCTGAGCAGGGAGCGCGATGTAGGGCTGATCCCAGCACCCTGGGATTATGACCTGAGTCGAACGCAGACGCTTAGCCGACTAAGCCACCCAGGCGCCCCTGGTTTCTACATATTTTTATCAACTCTGAATTTTTCTGAGAAGTCCTTCACATTTTTTCTTACAGCCAAGGTCTGTATACAAAATGTGATTTATAACTATGCCCTATGGAAAAGAGCACCCCATTCTTGTCTTTTTGTGTTACAGATTTGTCTTGTACAGTTTCTCATTCAAAATTGCCTCAGGATATTTGGAGAAGTCATCACTTCCCTCTTGGGAGAGAACTCAATGAGTCATGGTAAGAGCGAGAAGGCTGCAGGTACCGGGAGTAATTTAATTGGCTTTAGTGAGAAGCAGACAGCAAGGTTGCCCGGGGTCATGGGAGAGCTGTTCTGGAGCCCAGAGCATTACCAGGGCAAGGATTTCCATGGGCTCCTTCTTCCGAAGGCTGGCTCACAGGTCAAGGGAGGTTCCACACTGTTGTGAGACCAAAGAAAGGATAAAATGCGGTCTCTGACTTCAAGAAGTTTCTAGTGTAGATCATAAGGGCATTAGGACTCATCATGGTATGCTACAGTGTTTGGGAATTTTTTCTAACAAAATTCTAAATGGGTGCTATATATCTATCTATATATAGAACATCACACATATATATGTAGTTATATATATATATATATAATATATAATTAGATACTTATACTATATAAATATAATCATAATATATATATTTATGTGTATTAGATGTGCCTTGGCTGAAGCCAGAGTAAGGGGGCTTTCTTCCCCTCCCTCCTCTTTTGGCTCAGGGGCTCTTGAGGCACCACAGGATTCCAGTGCCCTTTGAAACGGGTTGAAAGAACTGGCATCATTGAGAAAAAAGGACTTGACTTGATGTCAAAAAACCTCTCCAGAGTGTAACGTCCTGTGCCCCCATTTACCAGCTATATTACCTTTGATCAGTTTTTCTAGCTCAGCATCAGTTTATTCATCTCTAAAATGTGGATAAAAATAATGTCTAAATCTTAGAATTGTTGTGTAGAATAAATAAGATGATGGATGGAATCCAAAAAAAGCCATTAATAGGACTAGGAGAAGTGCCCCTGAGACTAGAGCTAGTACGATTTGAGCCTAGCTAATCACAGCTACCTGGCAGCAGTCCACCTTAAAAGGTAGACTTTCGATTCAGAACCTGGAGACACGTATCATCAATCCCTCCATATTTCTGACATTTCTTGGTTTTATGATGCTTACCACATTACTTTGAGGAAATCTTTTGGAAAATACAAGTCATCAGGAATTAAGATGAGTCCGGGGCGCCTGGGTGGCTCAGTCGTTAAGCGTCTGCCTTCAGCTCAGGTCATGATCCCGGGGTCCTGGGATCGAGCCCCGCATCGGTGTCCCTGCTCCGAGGGAAGCCTGCTTCTCCCTCTCCCCCTCCCCCTGCTTGTGTTCCCTCTCTCGCTGTCTCTCTCTCTGTCAAAATATAAATAAAATCTGTAAAAAAAAAAAAAAGGAAAAAGAAGGTTCAGCGTATTAAACAACAACTACTACTACTAATCTCACTTCTTCCTTAGATTACGGGAAGAAGACTGTGAAAAGCCGTTATTTCAGAGCCAGGGCCTTTTGGTGGGGCACCAGAACTTTCCAGCACAACCAGTGCACATCCCCACCTTCCGCAAAGCCAGGACAGCTCTTTGGAGTTTCCCTCATGGATATGTGTTATAAAGACAAGCTGCCCTTTCCAATTCTGGTAGGTCATCTCCTTTTGGTCTTCTATAGCCCTCCTGAGGAGGGGAAACTCTGAGAGGCCACGTGTCCTCATCCAAATCTATCCCCAAATGGAGAAGTCATTAGACAGCCCCTGGCTTTGGCTGAGAAGCTCTGTTACTGTTATTTCAAGGAACAGAATCTGACTTAGGTCCAGCAGAGTCATGAGGCAAATAGAACAGGAAAAGACATTCTTCTCCATTCCACTTGTATCTTGTTTCCACAAAGACCCACCGAGGCCTGTTCAGATCAGTCAAAATGGACTCTGTCTGTGAGTCTCTGAGAGTCCACCTCATCTTCACACTCCCCCTTCATTGCCTTCCTGCACTCACATGAGTCTCAAGTCTCCTTCAGCAGAGTCTACGCAGTCTAACAACTGCAAACATCTGACACGAGCATAGACTCATCCTCTGGCAAATAGGAATCTGTTAATCCTAACAGAGTATGTCAAATGAAAGCCACAGAGTTTGGCCTGTGTTATCTCAAACTGCTGTAGTGAATTGTCAGTGTGGACCTTCACTGAGTATTCAGTGTCTCTGCAAGCATTGTACGCGATGTAGGGAACGTTCTGCTAGGTATGAAGAAATGTATCATCCTAGCTAGGATGTTACCTGCTAGCTACTACCCCAGGTCCTTGCATCACAGCAAATTTAGGGGCTAGCTAGGATTATCATCCTTCGCACTGCCTAAACGAATCAGAAAAGCATCAGTACAGGATGTATGTGCCCCAGGTCACACAATAGATAAATAGCATAATAGACTTCAGATCCGTTGGATTCCCTGAGTCCACCCCTTATTAAGTTTCTACACAGCAGGGAGAGGACATGAAGATACAGCAAAAGACAATGAAAGACTCATGAGAAGGAAGGGTAATCAGAGAAGGAGAAGAGAGTTTCTGAGCCTGACTTTAAAAGAGGGAAGAAAATAGAACAAGTAGGAAAGGAGTATACAGTCACTTAAAGAGAAATAAACAAATGGGAAATGAGTATTTCCTAAATAGACTTCCATACTTGGGAAGGAGCATCTATGTAGGGAATAATGAGAAAGAAATGCTAAAGTAGGAAACAGATGGTGATTCCCCAAAATCCTTGAAGCGGAGAAGTTTGATTTAAAAGTGGAAACTCAATGGAAAGGAAAATCTGAATAAAAGAAGTGTTTAAAATGTTTTAGTGTATGACTGTAAAATGGATATTTGGGTCGAAATTATATAGAAAGACACTGAAAAAAAAAACAATCTAAATTGACTTTGGCCCTTCCCACTCTAAAACAGTGTACCATTACATTCCCGTGCTCTTTCAAAATGGAGGCAAGCTTGTGCTCTGCGTTTGTGGATATGAGATGCCATGTACTTTTCTTTTCTTCCTACAGGATATGCTTTCCTTTATTAATCAAAAAGGGCCACTCACAGAAGGCGTCTTCAGCAAATCAGTCAATATAAAATCCTGCAGAGTCCTAAAGAAAAAACTAAATTCTGGGGTCAAACTGAACGCGTACAGCGAATCTGTTCATGTGGTCGCATCCGTCTTAAAGGTAGGGAAGGTTCTAGCATTATCCACATATGTGTAACTGAAGCTATGAATGGTGTCCTTCATCATGACTGCTCAAGAACCGTGATGGGCATAATAGATTAAGAACCTGACAAGCTGAAAAATGCTTGACAAAATCAAAATTTGAGGAAGCTACTTTAGGAGTTCAAAGCCCCATGTGTTAGAAATACTTTCTGTTTTCACTACACACCGCCCTCCCCACCCTCACTCCTGAAGACTCCATGCAAAATACTAATACTGAAATGACTACTAGTCATGATAATAAATTTCAAAATTCGCACCAATACGTACACACTGTTTACCCATGCAAACATCCTCACCACCCTCCTAATGAAGGCAAACTTTCCAAAAGAAATAGAACAGGGAAAGAATTTAATCCATCCACCTTGGCACTTATGAACAGCTCTGAACAACCCTATGTTAACGTAGTAATGACTACAGTCTTAGAATCTCAGTCACATTTGGTCTTCCCTTGTCCCCCGTTAATGTTCGAAGATGTGATAAATAGCCAAGTCCAGAAATGACTTAGGTAACCACTCCTACACTGGGGCCATAGTGATATCAGTAATAATATACGTAAAGGCATCAAGAGACAGGAGAAGAATGATGATACACTAGGTAGGAAGATGAGTGTTGCCCTCTGTAAGGTGCAAACATGGAATCGATTTTCTAGCAAGAGTTAGGAGGTTCTTTCCTGATTCCGTGTTATAAGCACCGACTAGGAAGAGGGTGAGCACTTGTGGGGAGAGTGCTTAGACATTTCTAAAGTTTTCTCTTCCTGAAGTTGACGGATCTTGGTGGAGAATCAGACTCTGCAACCTTGGCCTTGATAATATCATGGCAAACTAACTGGACAATTGGCCTATACTAGAAATGGATCTATCCTCAGGACCACAGTGAGTCTGCCATTAGACTCTCGACTTTTAGACAGTTAAGAAAAGGAAGAATGAAGCCATTGTGAGAGTAGCTTTCTTCCAGGGAGCACACCTACCCCGAGTGAGAAGACCTAGTTCTTTCCTAATATGTGTGCAAGAGCCCACCTGTTTGTGTTTTGATTGTTTCAGCCCTTTTCTTACTAGAATGAAGAGCTAGCACTGTGTCTAAAACAAGCAACATGGTATGTGTATTTCTGTCCAAGAAGCTAATAGGATTTAGGATGGTCTATAGCCAGACCCTGTCAGTTTGTGGTACTTTGCAAAAAAAGCACACACAAAAAATAAGTTCCAGATGATAGAAGGGAGCTTTATCTTCATTTCCACCACAGCCTAAGCTCTGCTTTTATGCCTCTAAGTTTTAGCGGGAGAAAATCCAAGCACCTGCTCCTGCGTGTGCAAGTCAATGGAGAGTCAGAGCCGAGCTCCGTGTGGGTCGCAGTTTGGGTATCTGTAAAGGAAGTGGGGGCTGAACTGAATTTTTTAACTACATATTTTCTCTGGAATATTTCCAATACATATTTTCTATAATATATACACATATTTTTTTATCTCCCTAAGGACTTTCTTGAAAATATCCCGGGAAGTATATTTTTATCTGATCTCTATGACGAATGGCTCGGTGTTATTGATGAAGGCAACAAAGAGGCGATGATAACTGCAGCCCAGAGGTAACGATGCACTAATTACTCTACTCTGGTCACATCTCCAAAATACACCCAACATACTATCAGGAAAACATTGGCTTACGTTTTGCAGCTTTGCACACTATAATCATGACCAACGCCAAAGAGTTTCAATTCTTCACGCCCATGGGGGCCAGCTTCAGAATAGAGGCACGCTTTAGGGCTATGATTGTTCTTCTCCTGATCTTATTAGTGTGGAGTCCTTGGCCGTTTTACACCTTCTGGATCCTTGAAACTAGTAGACAAAATTCCCTGGTCTAAGACAGATCAAGAGCAACAATTGCCAGGGCTATGACCTTAAAAGTCTGTCAGACATTTAACTAACCAGAGAAGTGTTTATCTGGCTCAGGAACTGAATTCAGTGCACCAATTTTGTCTACATTCATGCCTGGAACTCTGCTACAGCGGGTTGTGTGCTAGATATACAAGGATGTATCCTGTTCCCTGTCTCTGTTTTTCCAACCTCCTAAGTGGAATCACTTGCCTAATTTAAAAGTGTGTTTTCCTGACCTTAGGCTTTTAGCCCAGCTGCCAAGAGCAAATGTTGTTCTCTTGCGATACCTTTTTGGAGTGCTATACAACATCGAGCAACATTCCTCATCCAATCAGATGACAGCTTATAATTTATCTGTTTGTATAGCCCCAAGCGTTCTTTACCCACCTGATTCCGACAGCTTGGAATTGGAAGACAACTTGATAAAAAAGGTAATGAGAGCTCTCATTTTTGTCCCCTGGGGGGTAGAATCCCTACTTTGACCCGGACATGTACAGTAGTAACTCTGACAGATGGAACTTTGTGAAGTGCACATTTTCATTAGGCCCCTGTGGAGTGGCAGAGTTCTTTATCCTACTCTGGTTGGGTCTGGGAAGGGGTGTTGTTAAATGGAAAACTCAGAGCGGTCGAGTCACTTCTTCCCGCTCCAGGAGACGAAACCTAGACTGACTAAATGAGAGAGAGAAGAGTCGTGTGATACGATAGAAAAGAACCTGGGCTTTGGAGCTTCACCAGTCAAGGTTTAACTCTCAGCCTAATCCCTGAGGGACTCATATCTTTGGGCAAAGCCATGGTTTCCTCACTACACAATGGCGACAACAGGCAGCTCCTCTGGTCATCACTGGCACATCCTAGGTGGCTTGGGCAATATGAGCACCCATGCCTCCAAACACATTGGCCTTCCTCTGCCAATTGTGGCTCATCTAGAAAAGTACTCGGCTACTATTTCACTTCTGCTACATCATACGGAAAGTAGCAAGAGATTCCAGAATATCCTAATAAGATAACAGGTCTTCCCCAAGCTCACCCAGAGAGAGCCAGTATGAGGCAAAGCCATGCGTGAGAAGGGACTGAAGTTAGACAGACAGATACGTTTTCTCTCCAGCTCTGTAGGTTTTCCCTCACAACCCCACCAAAATCTCTCCTTCCCAACTTTAAGATGCTTCCTCATTTAAGAAATGGTTTTCTTAAGTTTTTGTTCATACTTTATTAAGTTTCAGAAGATGGTAAACATCAGTTACAACTCAATAAAACTGGAAACAAAATTTAAAAACAAAAAATAAGTAAACTTTAATAAGGTAGGCTACTTTGAATATTATCCTAGTTTTATTTATTTTTTGATACGTATTTATTTGAGAAAGGGAAAGAGAGAGCGTGAGCGGGGCAGGGGCAGAAGAAGAGGGAGAGGGAGAGGGAGAGGGAGAGGGAGAAGCCCAAGCCGATTCCCCGCTGAGCACGGAGCCCAAAGTTGGCTCCATGTGGGGCTGGATCTCACCACGATGACATCGTGATCTGCGCCGAAACCAAGAGTCAGACGCCCAACTGTGGAGCCCCGAAATTTATCCTAGGCTTAAAGACGTAACCGCTGATCCCAAACTGTTAGCTCTTAAACTAGGCCACGCATTATAACTTTAGCCCACGGATGAGCAGTATTTTAAAATGTATACCCAAAGTACACGGGAAAGTATCACTCCTTCTAAGTTACTTCTGAGAGAACTCTGGTTTCTATGTGTTTTTGGGGTTTTTTTGGGTTTTTTTTAAGCTTTTATTTACTTGACTGAGAGGGACACAGCGAGAGAGAAAACACAAGCTGGGGGAGTGGGAGAGGGAGAAGCAGGCTTCCCACTGTGCAGGGAGCCCGATATATGGCTTATCCCAGCACCCTGGAATTACGACCTGAGCCGAGTGCAGATGCTTAACCGACTGAGCCACCCAGGCGCCCCTGGTTTCTACATATTTTTATCAACTCTGAATTTTTCTGAGAAGTCCTTCCCATTTTTTCTTAGATCCAAGGTCTGTATACAAAATATGATTTATAACTATGCCCTATGGAAAAGAGCACCCCATTCCTGTCTTTTTGTGTTACAGATTTGTCTTGTACAATTTCTCATTGAAAATTGCCTCAGGATATTTGGAGAAGACATCACTTCCCTCTTGGGTGAGAACTCAATGAGTCATGGTAACAGCGAGAAGGCCGCAGGTACCGGGCGTAATTTAATTGGCTTTAGTGAGAAACAGACAGCAAGGTTGCCAGGGGTCATGGGAGATGCTTAGACAGAGCTGTTCTGGAGCCCAGAGCATCGCCAGGGCAAGGATTTCCATGTGCTCCTTCTTCCGAAGGCTGGCTCACAGGTCAAGGGAAGTTCCACACTGTTGTGAGACCAAAGAAAGAATAAGATGATGTCTCTGACTTCAAGAAGTTTCTAGTGTAGATCATAAGGGCATTAGGACTCATCATGGTATGGTACAGTGTTTGGGAATTTTTTCTATCAAAATTCCAAATGGGTATAACATCATACATATATATGTAGTTACATATATATAATATATAATTAGATACTTATAGTATATAAATATATAATAATATATATATTTATGTATACAAGATGTGCTCGGGTTGAAGCCAGAGCAAGGGGCCTTTCTTCCACTCCCTCCTCTTTTGGCTCAGGGGCTCTTGCGGCACCACAGGATTCCAGTGCCCTTTGAAACGGGTTCAAAAGAACTGGCATCATTGAGAAAAAAGGACTTGACTTGATGTCAAACTACCTCTCCAGAGTGTAAATTCCTCTGCCCTAATTTACCAGCTATATTATCTTTGGCCAGTTATTCCAGCTCAGCATCAGTTTATTCATCTCTAAAATGTGGATAAAAATGATGTCTCAATCTTAGAATTGTGGTAAAGACTAAATAAGATGATGGATGTAATCCCAAAAAAGCCATTAATAGGCCTAGGAGAAGTGCTCCTGAGACCAGAGGTAGTATGATTTGAGCCTAGCTAATCACAGCTACCTGGCAGCAGTCCACCTTAGAAGGTAGACTTTCGATTCAGAACCTGGAGACACGTATCATCAATCCCTCCATATTTCTGACATTTCTTGGTTTTATGATGCTTACCACATTGCTTTGAGGAAATCTTTAGAAAAATACAAGTCATCAGGAATTAAGATGAGTCTGGGGCACATGAGTTGCTCAGTCGTTAAGCGTCCAGCTTCAGCTCAGGTCATGATCCCGGGATCCTGGGATCAAGCCCCGCATCGGGCTCCCTGCTCCGAGGGAAGCCTGCTTCTCCCTCTCCCCCTCCCCCTGCTAGTGTTCCCTCTCTCGCTGTCTCTCTCTCTCTGTCAAAATATAAATAAAATCTGTAAAAAAAAAAAAAAAGGAAAAAGAAGGTTCAGCGTATTAAACAACAACTACTACTACTAATCTCACTTCTTCCTTAGATTACGGGAAGAAGACTGTGAAAAGCCGTTATTTCAGAGCCAGGGCCTTTTGGTGGGGCACCAGAACTTTCCAGCACAATCAGTGCACATCCCCACCTTCCGCAAAGCCAGGACAGCTCTTTGGAGTTTCCCTCATGGATATGTGTTATAAAGACAAGCTGCCCTTTCCAATTCTGGTAGGTCATCTCCTTTTGTTCTTCTATAGCCCTCCTGAGGAGAGGAAACTCTGAGAGGCCACATGTCCTCATCCAAATCTATCCCCAAATGGAGAAGTCATTAGACAGCCCCTGGCTTTGGCTGAGAAGCTCTGTTACTGTTATTTCAAGGAACAGAATCTGACTTAGGTCCAGCAGAGTCATGAGGCAAATACAACAGGAAAAGACATTCTTCTCCATTCCACTTGTATCTTGTTTCCACAAAGACCCACCGAGGCCTGTTCAGATCAGTCAAAATGGACTCTGTGTATGTGAGTCTCTGAGAGTCCACCTCATCTTTACACTCTCCCTTCATTGCCTTCCTGCACTCACATGAGTCTCAAGTCTCCTTCAGCGGAGTCTACTCAGTCTAACAACTGCAAACATCTGACACGAGCATAGACTCATCCTCTGGCAAATAGGAATCTGTTAATCCTAACAGAGTATGTCAAATGAAAGCCACAGAGTTTGGCCTGTGTTATCTCAAACTGCTGTAGTGAATTGTCAGTGTGGACCTTCACTGAGTATTCGGTGTCTCTGCAAGCATTGTACGGGATGTAGGGAACATTCTGCTAGCTATGAAGAAATGTATCATCTTAGCTAGGATGTTACCTGCTAGCTACTACCCCAGGTCCTTGCATCACAGCAAATTTAGGGGCTAGCTAGGATTATCATCCTCTGCACTGCCAAACCGAATCAGAAAAACCTCAGTACAGGATGTATGTGCCCCAGTTCACACAATAGATAAAAAGAATAATAGACTTCAGATCCGTTGGATTCCCTGAGTCCACCCCTTATTAAGTTTCTACACAGCAGGGAGAGGACATGAAGATACAGCAAAAGACAATGAAAGACTCATGAGAAGGAAGGGTAATCAGAGAAGGAGAAGAGAGTTTCTGAGCCTGACTTTAAAAGAGGGAAGAAAATAGAACAAGTAGGAAAGGAGTATACAGTCACTTAAAGAGAAATAAACAAATGGGAAATGAGTATTTCCTAAATAGACTTCCATACTTGGGAAGGAGCATCTATGTAGGGAATAATGAGAAAGAAATGCTAAAGTAGGAAACAGATGGTGATTCCCCAAAATCCTTGAAGCGGAGAAGTTTGATTTAAAAGTGGAAACTCAATGGAAAGGAAAATCTGAATAAAAGAAGTGTTTAAAATGTTTCAGTGTATGACTGTAAAATGGATATTTGGGTCAAAATTATACAGAAAGACACTGAAAAAAAAAAAACAATCTAAATTGACTTTGGTCCTTCCCACTCTAAAACAGTGTACCATTACATTCCCGTGCTCTTTCAAAATGGAGGCAAGCTTGTGCTCTGCGTTTGTGGATATGAGATGCCATATACTTTTCTTTTCTTCCTACAGGATATGCTTTCCTTTATTAATCAAAAAGGGCCACTCACAGAAGGCGTCTTCCGCAAATCAGTCAATATAAAATCCTGCAGAGTCCTAAAGAAAAAACTAAATTCTGGGGTCAAACTGAACCCGTATAGCGAATCTGTTCATGTGGTCGCATCCGTCTTAAAGGTAGGGAAGGTTCTAGCATTATCCACATATGTGTAACTGAAGCTATGAATGGTGTCCTTCATCATGACTGCTCAAGAACCGTAATGGGCATAATAGATTAAGAACCTGACAAGCTGAAAAATGCTTGACAAAATCAATATTTAAGGAAGCTCCTTTAGGAGTTAAAAGCCCCATGTGTTAGAAATACTTTCTGTTTTCACTACACACCGCCCTCCCCACCTTCACTCCTGAAGACTCCATGCAAAATACTAATAATGAAATGACTACTAGTCATGACAATAAATTTCAAAATTTGCACCGATACGTACACACTGTTTACCCATGCAAACATCCTCACCACCCTCCTAATGAAGGCAAACTTTCCAAAAGAAATAGAACAGGGAAAGAATTTAATCCATCCACCTTGGCACTTATGAACAGCTCTGAACAACCCTATGTTAACGTAGTAATGACTACAGTCTTAGACTCTCAGTCACATTTGGTCTTCCCTTGTCCCCCGTTAATGTTCGAAGATGTGATGAATAGCAAAGTCCAGAAATGACTTCGGTAACCACTTCTACACTGGGGCCATAGTGATATCCAGTAGTAATATACATATAGGCATCAGGAGACAGGAGAAGAATGATGATACACGAGGTAGCAAGATGAGTGTTGCCCTCTGTAAGGTGCACACATGGAATCAATTTTCTAGCAAGACTTAGGAGGTTCTTTCCTGATTCCGTGTTATAAGGACCGACTAGGAAGAGGGTGAGCACTTGGGGGAGAGTGCTTAGACATTTCTAAAGTTTTCTCTTCCTGAAGTTGATGGATCTTGGTGGAGAATCAGACTCTGCAACCTTGGCCTTGATAATATCATGGCAAAATACCTGGACAATTGGCCTAAACTAGAAATGGATCTATCCTCAGGACCACAGTGAGTCTGCCATTAGACTCTCGACTTTTAGACAGTTAAGAAAAGGAAGAATGAAGCAATTTGAGAGTAGCTTTCTTCCAGGGAGCACACATACCCCGAGTGAGAAGACCTAGTTCTTTCCTAATATGTGTGCAAGAGCACACCTGTTTGTGTTTTGATTCTTTCAGCCCTTTTCTTGCTAGAATGAAGAGCTAGCACTGTGTCTAAAACAAGCAACATGGGTATGTGTATTTCTGTCCAAGAAGCTAATAGGATTTAGGATGGTCTATAGCCAGACCCTGTCAGTTTGTGGTACTTTGCAAAAAAAGCACACACAAAAAATAAGTTCCAGATGATAGAAGGGAGCTTTATCTTCATTTCCACCACAGCGTACGCTCTGCTTTTATGCCTCTAAGTTTTAGCGGGAGAAAATCCAAGCACCTGCTCCTGCGTGTGCAAGTCAATGGAGAGTCAGAGCCGAGCTCCGTGTGGGTCTCAGTTTGGGTATCTGTAAAGGAAGTGGGGGCTGAACTGATTTTTTTAACTACATATTTTCTCTGGAATATTTCCAATACATATTTTCTATAATATATACACATATTTTTTTATCTCCCTAAGGACTTTCTTGAAAATATCCCGGGAAGTATATTTTTATCTGATCTCTATGACGAATGGCTCGGTGTTATTGATGAAGGCAACAAAGAGGCGATGATAACTGCAGCCCAGAGGTAACGATCCAATAATTACTCTACTCTGGTCACATCTCCAAAATACAGCCAACATACTATCAGGAAAACATTGGCTTACGTTTTGCAGCTTTGCACACTATAATCATGACCAACGCCAAAGAGTTTCAATTCTTCACGCCCATGGGGGCCAGCTTCACAATAGAAGCACACTTTAGGGCTATGATTGTTCTTCTCCTGATCTTATTAGTGTGGAGTCCTTGGCCGTTTTACACCTTCTGGATCCTTGAAACTGGTAGACAAAATTCCCTGGTCCAAGACAGATCAAGAGCAACAACTGCCAGGGCTATGACCTTAAAAGTCTGTCAGATATTTAACTAACCAGAGAAGTGTTTATCTGGCTCAGGAACTGAATTCAGTGCACCAATTTTGTCTACATTCATGCCTGGAACTCTGCTACAGCGGGTTGTGTGCTAGATATACAAGGATGTATCCTGTTCCCTGTCTCTGTTTTTCCAACCTCCTAAGTGGAATCACTTGCCTAACTTAAAAGTGTGTTTTTCTGACCTTAGGCTTTTAGCCCAGCTGCCAAGAGCAAATGTTGTTCTCTTGCGATACCTTTTTGGAGTGCTATACAACATTGAGCAACATTCCTCATCCAATCAGATGAAAGCTTATAATTTATCCGTTTGTATAGCCCCAAGTGTTCTTTACCCACCTGATTCCGACAGCTTGGAATTGGAAGACAACTTGATAAAAAAGGTAATGAGAGCTCTCATTTTTGTCCCCGGGGGGTAGAATCCCTACTTTGACCCGGACATGTGCAGTAGTAACTCTGACAGATGGAACTTTGTGAACTGCACGTTTTCATTAGGCCCCTGTGGAGTGGCAGAGTTCTTTATCCTACTCTGGTGGGGTCTGGGAAGGGGTGTTGTTAAACGGAAAACTCAGAGCGGTCGAGTCACTTCTTCCCGCTCCAGGAGACTAAACCTAGACTGACTAAACAAGAGAGAGAAGAGTCATGTGATACGATAGAAAAGAACCTGGGCTTTGGAGCTTCACCAGTCAAGGTTTAACTCTCAGCCTAATCCCTGAGGGACTCATATCTTTGGGCAAAGCCATGGTTTCCTCACTACACAATGGCGACAACAGGCAGCTCCTCTGGTCATCACTGGCACATCCTAAGGTGGCTTGGGCAATATGAGCACCCATGTCTCCAAACACATTGGCCGTCCTCTGCCAATTGTGGCTCATCTAGAAAAGTACTCGGCTACTATTTCACTTCTGCTACATCATACGGAAAGTAGCAAGAGATTCCAGAATATCCTAATAAGATGACAGGTCTTCCCCAAGCTCACACAGAGAGAGCCAGTATGAAGCAAAGCCATGCGTGAGAAGGGACTGAAGTTAGACAGACAGATACGTTTTCTCTCCAGCTCTGTGGGTTTTCCCTCACAACCCCACCAAAATCTCTGCTTCCCAACTTTAAGATACTTCCTCATTTAAGAAATGATTTTCTTAAGTTTTTGTTCATACTTTATTAAGTTTCATAAGATGGTATACATCAGTTACAACTCAATAAAACTGGAAACAAAATTTAAAAACAAAAAATAAGTAAACTTTAATAAGGTAGGCTACTTTGAATATTATCCTAGTTTTATTTATTTTTTGATACGTATTTTTTGAGAAAGGGAAAGAGAGAGCGTGAGCGCGGCAGGGGCAGAAGAAGAGGGAGAGGGAGAGGGAGAGGGAGAGGGAGAGGGAGAAGCCCAAGCCGATTCCCCGCTGAGCACGGAGCCCAAAGTTGGCTCCATGTGGGGCTGGATCTCACCACCATGACATCGTGATCTGCGCCGAAACCAAGAGTCAGACGCCCAACTGTGGAGCCCCGAAATTTATCCTAGGCTTAAAGACGTAACCGCTGATCCCAAACTGTTAGCTCTTAAACTACGCCACGCATTATAACTTTAGCCCACGGATGAGCAGTATTTTAAAATGTGTACCCAAAGTACACGGGAAAGTATCACTCTTTCTAAGTTATTTCTGAGAGAATTCTGGTTTCTATGTGTTTTTGGGTTTTTTTGGGTTTTTTTTAAGCTTTTATTTACTTGACCTAGAGAGACACAGCGAGAGAGAAAACACAAGCAGGGGGAGTGGGAGAGGGAGAAGCAGGCTTCCCACTGTGCAGGGAGCCCGATGTATGGCTGATCCCAGCACCCTGGAATTACGACCTGAGCCGAGTGCAGATGCTTAACCGACTGAGCCACCCAGGCGCCCCTGGTTTCTACATATTTTTATCAACTCTGAATTTTTCTGAGAAGTCCTTCCCATTTTTTCTTAGATCCAAGGTCTGTATACAAAATATGATTTATAACTATGCCCTATGGAAAAGAGCACCCCATTCCTGTCTTTTTGTGTTACAGATTTGTCTTGTACAATTTCTCATTGAAAATTGCCTCAGGATATTTGGAGAAGACATCACTTCCCTCTTGGGTGAGAACTCAATGAGTCATGGCAACAGCGAGAAGGCCGCAGGTACCGGGAGCAATTTAATTGGCTGTAGTGAGGAGCAGACAGCAAGGTTGCTAGGGGTCATGGGAGATGCTTAGACAGCGCTGTTCTGGAGCCCAGAGCATCGCCAGGGCAAGGATTTCCATGTGCTCCTTCTTCCGAAGGCTGGCTCACAGGTCAAGGGAGGTTCCACACTGTTGTGAGACCAAAGAAAGAATAAGATGATGTCTCTGACTTCAAGAAGTTTCTAGTGTAGATCATAAGGGCATTAGGACTCATCATGGTATTCTACAGTGTTTGGGAATTTTTTCTAACAAAATTCCAAATGGGTATAACATCATACATATATATGTAGTTATATATATAATATATATAATTAGATACTTATACTATATAAATATATAATCATAATATATATATTTATGTATACAAAATGTGCTCGGGTTGAAGCCAGAGCAAGGGGCCTTTCTTCCACTCCCTCCTCTTTTGGCTCAGGGGCTCTTGCGGCACCACAGGATTCCAGTGCCCTTTGAAACGGGTTCAAAAGAACTGGCATCATTGAGAAAAAAGGACTTGACTTGATGTCAAACTACCTCTCCAGAGTGTAAATTCCTCTGCCCCAATTTACCAGCTATATTATCTTTGGCCAGTTATTCCAGCTCAGCATCAGTTTATTCATCTCTAAAATGTGGATAAAAATGATGTCTCAATCTTAGAATTGTGGTAAAGACTAAATAAGATGATGGATGTAATCCAAAAAAAGCCATTAATAGGACTAGGAGAAGTGCTCCTGAGACCAGAGTTAGTATGATTTGAGCCTAGCTAATCACAGCTACCTGGCAGCAGTCCACCTTAGAAGGTAGACTTTCGATTCAGAAGCTGGAGACACGTATCATCAATCCCTCCATATTTCTGACATCTCCTGGCTTTATGATGCTTACCACATTGCTTTGAGGAAATCTTTAGGAAAATACAAGTCATCAGGAATTAAGATGAGTCTGGGACACATGAGTGGCTCAGTCGTGAAGCGTCCGGCTTCAGCTCAGGTCATGATGCCGGGGTCCTGGGATCAAGCCTCGCATCGGGCTCCCTGCTCCGAGGGAAGCCTGCTTCTCCCTCTCCCCCTCCCCCTGCTAGTGTTCCCTCTCTCGCTGTCTCTCTCTCTCTGTCAAAATATAAATAAAATTTGTAAAAAAAAAAAAAAAAAAGGAAAAAGAAGGTTCAGCGTATTAAACAACAACTACTACTACTATCCTCACTTCTTCCTTAGATTACGGGCAGAAGACTGTGACACGCCATTATTTCAGAGCCAGGGCCTTTTGGTGGGGCTCCAGAACTTACCAGCACAACCAGTGCACAGCCCCACCTTCCGCAAAGCCAGGACAGCTCTTTGGAGTTTCCCTCATGGATATGTGTGATAAAGACAAGCTGCCCTTTCCAATTCTGGTAGGTCATCTCCTTTTGGTCTTCTATAGCCCTCCTGAGGAGGGGAAACTCTGAGAGGCCACGTGTCCTCATCCAAATCTATCCCCAAATGGAGAAGTCATTAGACAGCCCCTGGCTTTGGCTGAGAAGCTCTGTTACTGTTATTTCAACGAACAGATTCTGACTTAGGTCCAGCAGAGTCATGAGGCAAATACAAAAGGAAAAGACATTCTTGTCCATTCCACTTGTATCTTGTTTCCACAAAGACCCACCGAGGCCTGTTCAGATCAGTCAAAATGGACTCTGTGTATGTGAGTCTCTGAGAGTCCACCTCATCTTTACACTCTCCCTTCATTGCCTTCCTGCACTCACATGAGTCTCAAGTCTCCTTCAGCGGAGCCTACTCAGTCCAACAACTGCAAACATCTGACACGAGCATAGACTCATCCTCTGGTAAATAGGAATCTGTTAATCCTAACAGAGTATGTCAAATGAAAGCCACAGAGTTTGGCCTGTGTTATCTCAAACTGCTGTAGTGAATTGTCAGTGTGGACCTTCACTGAGTATTCTGTGTCTCTGCAAGCATTGTACGGGATGTAGGGAACATTCTGCTAGCTATGAAGAAAAGTAGCATCTTAGCTAGCATGTTACCTGCTAGCTACTACCCCAGGTCCTTGCATCACAGCAAATTTAGGGGCTAGCTAGGATTATCATCCTCCGCACTGCCTAACCGAATCAGAAAAGCCTCAGTACAGGATGTATGTGCCCCAGTTCACACAATAGATAAATAGCATAATAGACTTCAGATCCGTTGGATTCCCTGAGTCCAGCCCTTATTAAGTTTCTACACAGCAGGGAGAGGACATGAAGATACAGCAAAAGACAATGAAAGACTCATGAGAAGGGAGGGTAATCAGAGAAGGAGAAGAGAGTTCCTGAGCCTGACTTTAAAAGAGGGAAGGAAATAGAACAAGTAGGAAAGGAGTATACAGTCACTTAAAGAGAAATAAACAAATGGGAAATGAGTATTTCCTAAATAGACTTCCATTCTTGGGAAGGAGCATCTATGTAGGGAATAATGAGACAGAAATGCTAAAGTAGGAAACAGATGGTGATTCCCCAAAATCCTTGAAGCGGAGAAGTTTGATTTAAAAGTGGAAACTCAATGGAAAGGAAAATCTGAATAAAAGAAGTGTTTAAAATGTTTCAGTGTATGACTGTAAAATGGATATTTGGGTCGAAATTATATAGAAAGACACTGAAAAAAAAAAAAACAATCTAAATTGACTTTGGTCCTTCCCACTCTAAAACAGTGTACCATTACATTCCCGTGCTCTTTCAAAATGGAGGCAAGCTTGTGCTCTGCTTTTGTGGATATGAGATGCCATATACTTTTCTTTTCTTCCTACAGGATATGCTTTCCTTTATTAATCAAAAAGGGCCACTCACAGAAGGCGTCTTCAGCAAATCAGTCAATATAAAATCCTGCAGAGTCCTAAAGAAAAAACTAAATTCTGGGGTCAAACTGAACCCGTACAGCGAATCTGTTCATGTGGTCGCATCCGTCTTAAAGGTAGGGAAGATTCTAGCATTATCCACATATGTGTAACTGAAGCTATGAATGGTGTCCTTCATCATGACTGCTCAAGTACCGTAATGGGCATAATAGATTAAGAACCTGACAAGCTGAAAAATGCTTGACAAAATCAAAATTTAAGGAAGCTCCTTTAGGAGTTAAAAGCCCCATGTGTTAGAAATACTTTCTGTTTTCACTACACACCGCCCTCCCCACCTTCACTCCTGAAGACTCCATGCAAAATACTAATAATGAAATGACTACTAGTCATGACAATAAATTTCAAAATTTGCACCGATACGTACACACTGTTTACCCATGCAAACATCCTCACCACCCTCCTAATGAAGGCAAACTTTCCAAAAGAAATAGAACAGGGAAAGAATTTAATCCATCCACCTTGGCACTTATGAACAGCTCTGAACAACCCTATGTTAACGTAGTAATGACTACAGTCTTAGACTCTCAGTCACATTTGGTCTTCCCTTGTCCCCCGTTAATGTTCGAAGATGTGATGAATAGCAAAGTCCAGAAATGACTTCGGTAACCACTCCTACACTGGGGCCATAGTGATATCCAGTAGTAATATACATATAGGCCTCAGGAGACAGGAGAAGAATGATGATACACGAGGTAGCAAGATGAGTGTTGCCCTCTGTAAGGTGCACACATGGAATCGATTTTCTAGCAAGATTTAGGAGGTTCTTTCCTGATTCCGTGTTATAAGCACCGACTAGGAAGAGGGTGAGCACTTGGGGGAGAGTGCTTAGACATTTCTAAAGTTTTCTCTTCCTGAAGTTGACGGATCTTGGTGGAGAATCAGACTCTGCAACCTTGGCCTTGATAATATCATGGCAAACTAACTGGACAATTGGCCTAAACTAGAAATGGAACTATCCTCAGGACCACAGTGAGTCTGCCATTAGACTCTCGACTATTAGACAGTTAAGAAAAGGAAGAATGAAGCAATTTGAGAGTAGCTTTCTTCCAGGGAGCACACATACCCCGAGTGAGAAGACCTAGTTCTTTCCTAATATGTGTGCAAGAGCACACCTGTTTGTGTTTTGATTGTTTCAGGCCTTTTCTTGCTAGAATGAAGAGCTACCACTGTGTCTAAAACAAGCAACATGGTATGTGTATTTCTGTCCAAGAAGCTAATAGGATTTACGATGGTCTATATATAGCCAGATCCTGTCAGTTTGTGGTACTTTGCAAAAAAAGCACACACAAAAAATAAGTTCCAGATGATAGAAGGGAGCTTTATCTTCATTTCCACCACAGCCTACGCTCTGCTTTTATGCCTCTAAGTTTTAGCGGGAGAAAATCCAAGCACCTGCTCCTGCGTGTGCAAGTCAATGGAGAGTCAGAGCCGAGCTCCGTGTGGGTCGCAGTTTGGGTATCTGTGAAGGAAGTGGGGGCTGAACTGAATTTTTTAACTACATATTTTCTCTGGAATATTTCCAATACATATTTTCTATAATATATACACATATTTTTTTATCTCCCTAAGGACTTTCTTGAAAATATCCCGGGAAGTATATTTTTATCTGATCTCTATGACGAATGGCTCGGTGTTATTGATGAAGGCAACAAAGAGGCGATGATAACTGCAGCCCAGAGGTAACGATGCACTAATTACTCTACTCTGGTCACATCTCCAAAATACACCCAACATACTATCAGGAAAACATTGGCTTACGTTTTGCAGCTTTGCACACTATAATCATGACCAACGCCAAAGAGTTTCAATTCTTCACACCCATGGGGGCCAGCTTCAGAATAGAGGCACGCTTTAGGGCTATGATTGTTCTTCTCCTGATCTTATTAGTGTGGAGTCCTTGGCCGTTTTACACCTTCTGGATCCTTGAAACTGGTAGACAAAATTCCCTGGTCCAAGACAGATCAAGAGCAACAGCTGCCAGGGCTATGACCTTAAAAGTCTGTCAGACATTTAACTAACCAGAGAAGTGTTTATCTGGCTCAGGAACTGAATTCAGTGCACCAGTTTTGTCTACATTCATGC